CAAAGCTATCACATGCGGACATTTCCAAATTGTATTGACGCATCAGGGACAAATGCAGTCCGATTCGATTCTATATTTTGTCTTGTACCATATATTCATGTGTTGTTCGAGATGAACAAATGACTTGGTCATGCATGTGTTTGTGACATGACATGCGCTCTGGTTCGGCAGGTTACGTTTATTTGTCACGAATGACTTGAAGCAAGACCGTTAATGAATCATAAACTCGTGCTCATGATATTGCACATTTGGGAATTTCATGTGATTAGTTTTCGTCGCATTGTTTCCATACAAAACGTCATTGAGCTGGTGATAGTGCATTGTCTGTATATAAAGGTACCCTGCATCCCATTGTTTTCGAGACCAGGAAATTTCTCTCCCGATAACGAATTGTCACTTGTCGCGTCGTATTCAGGAGACAATGACTCCGTCAAACCAACAGGGAGTTGGAGCTGTAAATATTATTCTTTGTCGTTAGTGCCCAGAGCAAGATATATTTTTCAACAAACAAGGCAAAGCCAAACTTACTAACCTCTTTACACATCCATTCTTTATTCATGCAGCGGTTCTTATGTGAAGATAAGCTGTCAACTGAAGGTTATGGGAGTATGTTCATTACTTGCTCCGTCAGGATTAGTACGCTTTGATGTAATGTGCATTTATGCAAATTTCATGGAACAAATTCATGATGTACTGAAAAGTGTAGAATATGACTTCCCTTTATAGCCATATGAAATAGTTGTTTTAGAATAATGGCAAAATAATGTATATTTCTGAAAAATGTACATATTATCCATTGAACAACGGCAAACTATTCCAGGATGAAGCCCTTTATGTTCAACGTCTTCTGTCAACAAGAAACTTTTCCTATACATAAACGTTTCCAATATCCTGCCATTTGCCTACGTGAGTGTAGAGGCTGGAGCGTCTGATCGTCATGCCGAAGGCCAGAATTCAGGTCCCAACTAAGTAAATGTGTGTAGCCAGATTCAAGTATCGCTCGTCGTGATGTTGTTGGAATATTCCTAAATCCTGTGTATAATTTAACTCTCTAACTACCATCAGCCATTCCATATGTGTCCCATCAATAAAGGCATAATTACTGACAGGAACATTTTCATTCTTGCTGTATGGTTTCATGCTTCCAAGGTGCCAGGAATGGGAGAATTTAGGGAAGACACACTGTGCTTTCAATGAAGAGCTGTATTACCTGCAGACTGTCCTGATTTCCAATTGAATCGTAACTATATAAATGTTTAATCAAGCACCGACAAATCTACGGGTCAAATCACCAGACTGAAAACAAACTCATTAGCCTATCTCCATGTTACCATGACAAAGTAGGTTAAGGCTTATCTTTGTGTAGGTAAATTAATACATTGAGCGCTTTCCAATACACTACGTCGCTTTGCATAATGATATAAAAAACCTTTTTTTTACAAACGTTCGATACGTCCATACAGTGTAACGATGTTGATGGACCCTACGAAAATACTTCGATTTATGTTCGATACATCCGCAAAATGTAGGACCAAGCTCGTACTTTTAGGCAACCGTATGTTTGACACAATTGTGTTCAGCTGGATTAAATTGTGATTGTAGGGTTTACATGAAGTTGGGGCGGTGGGGTAGCCCGTGGTTAAATCGTTCGCTCGTCACGCCGAAGGCCCGGGTTCGATTCCCCACATGGGTACAATGTGTGAAGCCCATTTCTGGTGTCACCCGCCGTGATATTGCTGGAATATTGGTAAAAGCGTCGTAAAACCATACTTACTCACTCACTCACATGAAGTGCACACCCTGGAGAAAATGGAGCAAGTTGTGGAAGGTTACGTTCTAAACCCCACAGTACCATTATGGTTTGGCAGAATCTCTGACGTTACATATATTTAACATCTACACCTCAACGTCGTGTGTTCCGTTAACTTTAACTTGTAATTACAACGATGCAAAGGTAATGGCGCAAGATTTCACATCAAAGTTCGACACAACGATGTATGTACAAATTAATCCGTCAGCTCAATAACCATATTCAGAGGATTTCTGCCCTAGAATACGTACATACTTCTAAAAGAAATGCCAGAATCAATGTAAACATTCAATTATTCTCGAGAGATGAAAATTGATATTCATAACTTGAGTCCACCAAGTCGTAAATTCGTGATAAAAGCGGGGGTCATCATAGTGCTGTTGTCGCCTTATGCAACGAGACCCAGAGAAGAAACTCCCACTTACATACAGATATATCGAGTGATTGGCTCCGACGATCAATACTCCATATTCCCAAAATGTTGTGATGAAGTTAAATTGTTAAATTTGACATAATTAACTGTAATTTGATATCAGGAGTTGATGGAAATATAGATTTTAGAGAAAACAGTGGATACTCCAAATAGTTATAATATGTCTTCCAGGCTCCATTTTAAAACATAAAAATTTGGGCCACAGATGTTGCGTTTGTGCGAACTGCTAACCTAATTTGGAAACAAGGTGCTATACGTCTGCAAGCTTTCTTTTTGGACTTCTAAGCCATATTTTGGTGAAAAATCGTCAACGTGACTCTCATAAGCATAATTAACGTTGACAACAGTATCGAAAACCAAAACTAATTCATGATATATACGTATGTTAATTTTCTTAATATTCTTATTAACTGATAATTATCCGCAGTATTTGGTTATCCATAACCCGTCCAAACAACATCACTAGTGATACCGTGACGTCATTCCGTCACGTCATCAACTACATCCGAATTTCAGCAATATTGGTATTTGTGTTCCGCAAAAAATATTTGACAGACTACGATGTCATCATCTGCTGCAACCGTTGTGTCGAACGTATGGTCGTCTCAATTTTAAAAGCTTGGTCCCTGCATATTCCTTAGTAATTATTTGTATCGAACAAGGAGTACCTCGAAGTATTTACATTTGTCCATCAACTTCGACACAAGGGTGTTTGGGTGTAATTGCATTACACGAACACTGTGTTAGTGAAATGTGTTTAAGTCTGCTTTGAGGTTAAATGTATTCCAGTTATATTACACGATCTCAGCTGAAAGTGGGAGAACAGCCATTTATTTCTACCTCCAAGAATGTACAAGTAATTAGGTTATCTGGGTTTACTGCGCCTGGCGTTTTCAATGTAGGTGATGTGAGCATGGAAGAGCCAGCTCCTGTATTTTTCAATTGTTACCCTTTCTGTGGAGTGATATTCTGTGCGCCGCCAATATACTTTGTCCCCTGTCTACCTATTGACTTTGCAGTACACGCCTTTTGTATCCCTGTTTCCTGTTTAGAAATACCTTACTATGAGTAAGTTTGGTTTTACGCCGCTTTTAACAATATTCCAGCAATATCACGGCCGGGGACACCAGAAATGGGCTTCACACATTGTACCCATGTGAGGACCTTACTATGAACATTGTTAATATACTCATAGAAACAAATAAGGGAACACATGAAAGTACAAGTGTTTCTTTATTTATTTCTTGTACTTGTGTTCCCTTATTTGTTTCGATGAGTATATATCGCTTGTTACATTAATTTCTTCTCCAGAATCTATATAAGAATTCCCCTTTGATAGATATACATTGCTGTAAGTATTCAGCGGTATTATTTGAAATTTCGTTTTGTTAGAATGACATTATGGAGAATGTACTCCTCACAGATATTGGGTGATCAGGGCAGTAATTGATGGGAACATTATTATGATGAGGGTGATCTTGGGGGTTAGATGAAGTTAGGTGATCTCTATGAACTCCTTAGGTGTTGTTAAATGATGTTAAATATGATGTTAATGTGTGACGTCATTTTACACCAAATCCCACAGTGTTTCGAATAGATTTTATAAGCGTCCATTTCTTCAACCATATTGATAAATACATGTGTCGATGAGTTTTACTAGTTAGTAGCCAAACTACAAATACATGTATAGGCACTCTTACCGATCAACAAGGAAAGATCCTGCATCAATAGAAACTGTTACATTTATTTCAAAAAACAAGTATTCCACTGGCGCGCATTAGTGGGAGTAAATGTCTGCTTCCATTGCAAAACAGATGTGAGTCAATATTTAGATCTCGACCTTCTTCACAGCTAGATAAATCATGAAAAATACCTGATCGCAATTACTTCAGTTTCGCGCCGGCAAAACAAATCTAAATCCGATTTTTCTCTACCTGATTCGATTTAGGAGCCAATCTCTGTGGCCGTATGTGCATCCTTCTGATGTATTGCGTCTGGTAGGCGTTTCCCACATTTCAATTGACCATTAAAATGTTCTAAATGGATTGAGAAAGCCACGCAGCAGCCAGTCCATGATCCCCCGTACGACGTTTGTGCAGATTTATGAGTACATGGCAGGGCAGAATTCTTTTTCTTTCAAAAAGGCTATGGTTGCAAAAATACCTTATTTTAACGTATCTTAGTTTCCTGGTTTGGTTCGAGCACTGGCGGTCCATTCTTCAAAGGCACCACAAGTTGTTCCCCTTTACCGTACCAGAATCCTATGACCATGGGTTGGTATCCTGGTTAGACATGATTATTTTCGTATATCTGCACCATACCTATCATTATGGGTTTCACGAATGGTAAAATTCCATGACAACCTGATTCCAGGGCGATGTCGGAAGCTTGTAAATAACTGAGTCTGGGGGAGGAACGCCAATGGTTGATAGCATAAGCAACCACTAGAGCTGTCGATGTCACACAACCAGTAATGTCGTACACATATATCGGTTTACATGGCAAGCTTGGGCTATTTTACCGTTTCCAACCGATTTTCTATCGAATTGTCTGGTTGTTAAATTTAGCTGGCTATCTACAAGTACAAGGTATAGTCTTTCTTCTGGTTGTAAATGTAGGTTTGACAGCCCCTGTTTGCTAGAATACACGTGTATTCTATTCATATCAACCATTGTCGAGACTCGATTTCACTGTCGCCTTGGTAAAGCTGATATAATGTAAACTGCAGCCTTAAATAAGAAACACTGACGCCACACATCCCGATACCGTGTTTATTGTTCTGTGTTTATACAACGAAGACCCAATTCTGAACCCTTCCCAACAGTTATTATTGATAATTATAAAGCAATATTGACCTTTATGTTTTGTGGTTTTTGTTGAATTTTCTATCACTGTCAGCAAAAAACACTGCGAAATGTCAATGAGGCAGAAACATGTTAAAGAATTCTGGAAATATACTCTTCTGGTTGGTTTCGAAATATCGGAGACTCGTTAACACTACGTTAACGGTTAAGCTTGCCTCTTCAAGCGTAACATTTCACAGAGTTTGTCTCAGGGGTTTTGCATTTGCATTTGTCGTAAGTTCTCCCACCGCTAACGATCTGGGTAAACCCATCTGTAGGTACACACTTGACATCATTTCCTTGTCTGAAAGCACATTCTGGAATAAATAAGAGAAGTCATTGTTTAGAGTGTGTAATAGTCCTAGGACTTGTATTGAAACAAGGACTTCGGTTTAAAATGTCCTTTATTCGGACACCATGTCGTCAGCATGGTGGCCATTACACAGCAGACAGGGGAGATCACTCTACTGGCATGTTTCACACTGATGCTACATGTTTACAACTATTTATGCCTATAGTGAACCTCTGTTAGCTATGATCGGAAGTACGTTTCAACTCAAAGTGAAACTTCGTTATTCTGGAACCCTTTAATCCGAACTCCCGGCATCGGTAGATGAATCGTTTTGAAATACAACTCCGAACTAAAGATTCTCGTTAAATCACACTTTAGTTCACCCGGTTTCATTGGGAGTTTGCCGGGTTAAGGGGGTTGTACTGTTCTTCAAACACATAAGCCGTACGGCTTGTAAACATGACCTTACACAGTGCAGTGTGTAGTTTTCGGCGTTTTTTAGCTCTGTGTTACACGAGATAGGATTTACACATTGCAGGTATTTTTAAATCTAACCTGGGTCTATGTCTAAAATCACTGTGCTAACTAAACGTCCGACGGCGCAGAACATCGCCGGTTGGTGTTGTAAGGCGATCGCTAACTAGGCCTTAATCACCGTGTACATCTCGACCTACACCGACAGCAATCGATAACGGAACTTGCCTCCCTTGACACAACATAATATAACGCTGTAACCCCAACCGTTTTTCACGGAAACAGGGTGTAGTTACATCCGATGAAGGAATTACCCAATTATTGCACACGCGCTTGCGTATAATTACTAATGATGCTTCAGGCCACAACATATGAGTGTTTTATTCTATTTTTTAAGTATATTGTTATATATGCACATTTGGGCATTTTCGTACGTAATATGAAAACTGCATGTTAAAACTATCGTTCATGAATAGTGTTTGGTTGTTGCTTAACACTCTCCAATATTCCAGCTATTTGTCGATGGTCTGTAAATAATTTAGTCTTTACCAGACAATCCGGTGATCATGAGCATCGATCAACACAATTGGGTGTCAACCAAGTCAGCGAGCCTGACCACTTGGCCCCGTTAGTCGCCTCTTACCACAGGAGTATTCCCATACTGCCTACAGTTCCAAACTGCCTACAGGTTAAAACATGATACGGTCCAGTGATCAAGAAGTGAAGTTAATCGGAATACACCGATCTGACCTGTTCTACCCCTGCTAAAATGAACTTGACCAGTTACTTGGTTAATGAACGGTAACCTTTACTGGTTTCACAATGACACACAACTGACAAGGATGTCCATTTCGTTGCCATGGACTCCGATATGTGACGGGACCCAGATAAAATGTATTTGATTATTTTTGTTTTGAGGTATAGTATTCATCTATATATGTTATTTATTAGATCTAGTCTTTTTGTTGAAGAGTAATTTTTGAGAGCTTGTATGGAGGAATCTGTAAAAATGCAGATGGTAGTGTTTGTTTGGTCAGATGCTGTTTGCAAGGCCTGAACTATGGCAGCGAGTTCTGATGTGAAGATACTGGAGTTTGCCGAGAGATTATAGGATTGTTTAAGGCTTTTTGGGGGTATGTAGATACCAAAACCAGTAGTACGCTTCTGATTTCAAGCACATTCTAACAAATACCAAATTAATTAAACCACTCACTAAATATCTCATTCACACAAAATTATACCAAACAATCTAGCAACGAAAAACAATAATACCAAGTTTTACCATTTTAAAAATTGTTATAAATATGTATATTATGTTCTTTTAACTTTTTAAATCAGTTCTTTTTATCAAGTTTTCAACCATTTATTTATCATTATTCACTTAATAAATATGTTTTTAAACTTGAGCTGGTTAAAAAATACAATAACCATTTACTACAACACATCTATATTAAATTCAAAATCTCCAATACTCTTTACCTATTTCATAATTTTTGTTACATTTTTTATTCGGCATCCCATTCAAATTCCCTTAACACTCAATTGTTGTTGGGGGGGGGGGGGGAGGTTTAGTAACACCACTCTTTCAAAATATATTTTTTTGTTGCCCTCATTTCTTAATAAGTGTACTACTACACCCCTTCTTCATTGATAATTGAGCTGTTCCATTATTCTACAGGGCAAAAAAATCATTTCCCACGCTGCCTACAATATTTTTGTTGGCAGTTTGGGATGTAGGCAGTTTGGAACTGTAGGCAGTATGGGACCTAACCTTACCACAAGCAGGGGCTGCTTAAGATCAATTCTAACCCGGATCGTCACGGGTTTTCAACAATAATTACATATGAACTGAAATATGTCAGAGTGAGTGTTAGTTCATGGTAGATTTAACAGTAATTCTGTTATACGGCCTGTCAACAACACATTGATCAGCTCACACAGTTGTAGACAAAATCCGAAGTGCCGATGACTACTTTGATAAAACTCACGAGCATGTTTATGTTGCTGGCTAATCTATAATAATCATAGTCATCATCATCATCAGCAGCAGCAGCAGTGACACCCGCGCATATCACAGTTATATGTCAATCACGTTAAACACCGAAAACATTACCTTTCAGTGCTACGTTTTCTGGGCCAGTTAAATTAAATGAGAGTAGCTAATTTTATCAATCTATCAAGGTCTATCAATGTGTTGTGACCTTATATTTCCTGAGAGATCAGACCCGCTGAGATGGTTGATGTATGTCACCCTACCCAACTGCGTAGATCGGTGCTCATAGTGTCAACCACTGTCCAGATTCCATTGTTTACAGACCGCCGTCATATAGCTGGAAGATTGTGGCGTAAAACGAACGAACAAACAAACAAACATCCCCATGGTAGATATAACGTACGTTTCTTCTCCACAATGTCCATTCTGTAGGTTTCCTTGTTGCAGACAGCCGTTCCACAGTTGTAAGGGGCTGTTGCCCCTGGCAACACGCAGTCTCCGTTATCAGCAATGCATGCTGGGGGATAATAAAAACGTATGTCAGTATATCAGCGTAATGACAGAATACCCAAGAGTCTGCTCAATGACTAAACACGGCAAAATATGTTTGGATTGAGATTTTGTGAGAATGGATGATGCCACGAATCCGTTGGTATATGACCAGATGGTGGCCACATGAATACACGTGAACTTGGACAAAGTACTGTGACTATGTGTCCCAGTCCACCCAGCTGTGAATGGGTACCTGGTTAGGATGAGAAGGCCATAATAACTCGGTGCGCCTAGTGGCTGCAAGAGTTGTATGATCCCCATGGAGTTGAGATTGATAACACGATGTGCCGTTGAGACTGACATCCAATGATCGAGGGGAAAAATACCAGCGCCTTGAGCAAGCACTAGTTGCCTGGATATGTGCGCTATATATAAATATCATATAATATTTACGCAAATACTGACACATTGCATGCACTCAAGTATACGCTCTAACACGCACACCTTACTTTTACACACACCAGTGCATACATACACACGCACGCATACACACACTCACATGTGCCTATACGTTGCCAGATAAATCATGAAAATAACGTTAATGCAATTCCCCTCACAAGCTTCCAGCATCGATCTTGATTTTACGTGCGTTTCACACGTAATCCATTCATGGTTTTACTATTAATGGTGTTAATGTCACCATGACATTGTGTCTGTTTTTACATTATTTGCATAAACCTATTCTCATGAACAGAGTAAAACAGGTGTGAAACACCCCGATCCTGTCCTTAGATTATGCCACTGTTTCTTAATGCAAATTGGTTTTACTATTTGTTAATGTCACTACGGAATGAATGACATTGTGTCTGTTTTTACATCCAATTACCATACGGCGTTATGATGCAATTAATGTAAACTATAAAACGTCGAGAAAATCAAATCTGCATAAACCTATTCTCATGACAGTGTGACTGGCAGAGTAACAGACAGGTCCATACATTACCCAGTGTTTATGAAGGAATCACCCCGGGCACTGTCACCCCCGATCCTGTCCTTAGATTATGCCTAATTTGACTGTTCGGGAAGTCGTAAAACTTAATGCAAATTTCTGGCCCCAAACTGGTCTTTAAATTCTGCATACATTTTTAATACAATCGCCATCGAATGCTTTGTAGGGCTTTTTCCAAACAGGGTGTCTACTGAGCCCTAAAACAAGTAAAACCATCGACTCAGTTCGAAACAGACGTGATGAGTGTCTTTCAAAGGTTTCCGTCTGACGTTAAAGCCACCAACGGCCCTATTTGGAACAGATCTAGAACACCATTATACCATGTGCTCACCTCGTGGGAAATGTCATTTCATATCTTCTCACCTTTGGCTTATTCGTTATCATCCTCAGAAGAAGTATTCATGAGAAATACATCGCGATTTGTGCGTACCTTGGATGTGATGACTGCTGCTATTATTTAGGCTTTGCTCGAAAAAGAAATATCCCAATTGATTTCCCTCATGTCTCAAGCGTTAAAGATTTATAACCCTATAACGACACACTGAACATATTACAGAATGTTTTACAATGAGTTTGCCTTGAGCTTGTCAACTGGTATAACAGAAAGTATTGATTACAAGCTTTTCTATGTCAGGCGCTGGACATTTAACAGACGCCAGTGTAAAAGTATTCTCACTCACCAGGAACCCATGTTCTACGGACAATGGTTCCAGACGTACAAATGTCCTACCCCGGAGATAGGTTCCTGTTATTGCTGACAGGACGATAATTCTAGGCTCATTGTGTCCTCGTAAAGGCAAGGAATTGATTCTTTGGCGATGTAGTCAGGTGTTATTTTTACGAGACGGGAAGAAAGCGATAAAACAAATCTCAAACTAATATACACCTGTTTCAGTGAGTTGAATTCTTCCCATTTGATTAGTATATTTTGTTTGTTTTTTGTTAAACGCCTCAAACAGCAATATTCCAGCCAAATGGCGGCGGTCTGTAAATTATTGAATCTGGACCAGGGAATCCAGTGTTCAACAGCATGAGCATCGATATACGCAATTGGGATACGATGACATGTGTCAACCAAATAATCGGGTCCAACTACCCGATCCCGATCGCCTCTTACGACAAGCAAGGTTTCCTGAAGACCAATTCTAACATGGATCTTCACGAGTTCTTCCAATTTGGGACCATAAGAAACGTACTTGCCTAATTCAAGTAATTATACGAAATAGAAGGCGTGTCATTTTAATGTAGACAATGTGGTAAAGTGGCAGGGTATAGTCGGGAAGGGGAAGTTGATCCAGGTCATGTCATACAAAAAGACGTGAGATTGTGCGCTCGTTGGTAGCATTTTACCGTGCGTGACATTCTGCATTAAGGGTAAGGTTTGACTAGGATCGGTCGGATTCAGTAGGGTGTCTATCAGGGTATCCATATTCAAATACAGCATGGTATCTCAGTGGGATAGGACTCTAAACTCCCGATTAGTGAATGAGTGAGCGAGTTGGGTTTTACGGTACAATATTTCAGCAATATCACGGCGGGGGACAAAAGAAAATAGGCATCACACATTGTACCCATGAGAGGAATTGAACCTGGTTCTTGGGCGTGAAGTCACACGCTTTAACCACTAGGCTAAACACACACACACACACACACACACACACACACACACACACACACACACCTCCCATCCCACCCCCACCCACCCCTACGCCTTCCACTCCCCCCACCTGAATAAGTACAAGTAGCCACAGAAAGAGCTAAACATCTTGAAAACGACGTTCAGTCTCAATTCGACAATACAGGTCGCCAATACCATGGGTATACGATATAAATGGGACATCTTTATATCACGGTGCATTCTTAAACTTAATGCCAATCGTTACGTTCTGTGAAGAAAACCAATTGATTAACTGTCAAAAAACATATATATAAACCTACACTGTGGTTACACTTACTTTGTTCAAAGCTGACGCTTTGTGAGACGTGGTTGAATATGCACTTGACGCAGTGTTTGGATGTTCCGGCGTCGAAACATTCCTTCTTGCCGTTCATCGTGAGTTGACATTCTGGAAGTGTATGTGGAATGTGAAATAAGCTGGTTACACACGTGGTTTTAATCATGAACCGCTGATTATTTGTGACTGCGATGTATAAATCTAAGTGACTTGAATCGTTGACGTTTACAATTTAACTGAAACACTCAGTGAAGCGGGTTTTCTGTCCGTCCTTTAACGCATGACCCAATAATGTTCAATACATATAACGACGGTCTGTAAATAATTCAGCTTGGACCATTCAATCCAGTGGTCAACAGCATGAGCATCGGGCTACGTAATTGGGATGCGATAACATGTGTCAACCAAGTCAGTGAGCCTGGCCATCCGATCCCGTAAGTCGCCTCTTATGACAAGCATGGGTTACTGAAGATCACATCTTACTGGGATCTTAACGGGCCGATGCGTCGACCACAATAGCTTCCTCAATAGTGCACGGGTTTTTATGTTCACACTATGACCAGGCGAAATTGGCCTATCAACAGTTATATAGTGTGGAGTTATTTTTCCATTTGAAGCTGTCCGTTTATGAACGGTTTTAACGTACAAAATCCTAAATTTGTCTCTTTTCTCGTCCCGACAATTTAGAAGCATCGACGGTGATAAGATACTTCATTCGATATGCAACCGTGACGAACTGTTAGAAAAGTATCGTATCGGAATATATGGTAATGAATATGACTTTAACAAGAGTGAGGAAAATCGAGTATTACACAGCTGGTTTTCTTGCCATTGTCTTCATCTTGGTGTGATTTCTTTCTTCGAAGTTTGCCGTTGTTTACCGCCCCATTCAGCAATATTCCAGCCATATGACACTGATCGGTAAATAATCGAGTCTGGACCAGACAATCCAATGATTCATATCAGCGATGTTGTGCACGTCTAGCTGGTATAAGTCATCGAGAAGTATCACTCGATCCCGAGGTTCATCTCTGACGACAACCATGGGTTGTTGAAGATCAGTTCTAACCCGGATCTTCACGAGGACCGTGCCATGAGTAAAATACTGCACTTACGAGGTTTGCTGAGGATGTAAAGGTTTGTGACTCTGTTCCTTGTCTGGCATATGTAGGTGTTGCAGTAAATATGGATCGTCTCGTTGTAAGCAACCTTTTGGCCCGTGCTCAGCCGACACACTGAAATTGAGACCATTCGTTATTTTAATGAATATTGTATTTCTTACCAATTTCTCGATTACATCATACTAGATATACTGGAAACGCTATCAATTTTCACGAATGCCTACATTCAGATCAGGTACGTAACTGAAAATTATTTCGTTTGTTTTAATACAACGTTTTTGTTGTTTAGAGGCTCCCTAAGAAACGTTCCAGCGTTAAGGTCTGCCAATAATCGAGTCTGGACCGGACAATCCAGTGATCAACAACATCAGCATCTATCTACGCAATTGGGATACGATGACGTGTCAAACGAGTCAGCGAACCTGACCACCCGAACCCATTTCTCGCCTCTTACGACAAGCATGGGTTGCTGAAGACCAATTCTAACCGGATCTTTCAAAAAAATTCATACAACGTAGAGAAAACAAAACATGACGGAACGACAAACAAAGTAACAAACATGTATGTACTACTCTCGAGAACTTAAAGAACACTCGGGAATTTGTTTATGTCCGTACATAATTGGTTATGACTCATAAAAAAATTAGTTGTCCTTATTTTCTTTTGAGTCGTAATATGTTTATAACCCTAATAAGTTTCTAGTAAAATGTTTGCACAAATAGTAAACGAAAGTGATTTCCTTAGGAAGCGTTGGAGTCAAGGTAAAACAAATAACGGTAAAAATGAAGGTTAAAGAAAGAAGGGTTAAAATATCGAATGAGTGAGTGAGTGAGTTTAGTTTTACGCCGCTTTTAGCAATATTCCAGCAATATCACGGCGGGGGACACCAGAAATGGGCTTCACACATTGTACCCATGTGGGGAATCGAACCCGGGTCTTCGACGTGACGAGCGAACGCTTTAACCAGTAGGCTACCCCACCGCCGCCAAATATCGAATTGTGCAAATGGAAAGGCATAGGAGTAACTACTTCTTGGTGAAAGGATTTGATTGCCTCAGAAAGCGTTGGTGTCAAGGTAAAACAAAGAATGGTAAAATACAGAAGGGTGAAATAGAGAACGGTGGTGATAATAAGGAATAATGCGAATGGGAAGACAGGGATCGGTACTTCTTGGACTCAATACATACCATAGCTAGAGCTTGAACTAGATTGGCTGTTGCTGTTACTGTTACTGTTACTGTTGCTGTTGCTGTTGCTGTTGCTGTCGCTGTTTGTCCCACACTGCTCCCTCTTGTTACCAACAGTGACAGATTCCCCAACTTTCAAGCAGGCGCCGGTCAATGTGGATTTGCAACCTTTTCAAACAGCCAAATCAACAAAAGTCTAGTAAAATATTCACACATCAAAATTTTTCTAAACCTCTAAAACGTTACGGCACGTTTTATGTGAAAGGCGGGTCTGTTTGTGTCATTGGCGAGTGCTTCTAATGGTACAGGACACGCCCTTTATTGTCCGTGTGCTCGTGGTTCATTAATACTCTTCACAGTTCACAGTGATGAATTTCTAAATGACAGCACGATCCGCGTGCAGTTCTTGTGGCTTGATACCTTACATTAATATATTTTATTCTATTCGGGTGTTCATTACACTAGTTTTGACATGTATTTTCATATCAGTAAATATTTAGGGAAAGTAAAAAATCTTATCTTTATCTTCAACCTCGTTTAAAAAAGAGTAAGTGTATCCAATTTCAATGTTGATGTGATATTCCCAAATTCTTTGATTTGATATTCGAAAAACAATATTTTGTAAGTGATAACAACATTGACCATTTGTGCCGTTATCGTTTATCGGGCTGTGTCCTGCAGCATTATTTCAACAGGACATTGTTATTTCAGCGGACTTTTAATAAAATCACTATGTCAACGGTCGATTAATATTGGAGACCCCGCAATGAGAAACATGATTTAAACACAGCCGGATGGGTCTACGGTGAAAAAATACTCACAAAAAGACAGGTTTGTTTGTTGGTTTGTTTAAAAAGCACCTTGAGATAACCATTGCTTTGTTATAATGGAATCTGTTTCGACGGATTTTTCTCGCTTTTATATTTAAAAGACTATGCAGAAAAACTTTGATATTCATGAAAATAGTTGTATATTAAAATAGGTACCATAGTCACATAACAATAAATAAAATTGTAAGAGTTTATCACTTGCCTACGTCTTTCACCACCAGCTTGGCCTCAGAGTTGCATTCTCTGTTGACACAGTTGTCGCTCATGAACTTCGTTCCCTTCTTTATGCAATTTCCATTGAATGAACACACTGGTAATAACAACAAAACATTTATAGCAATAAAAAAACATCAAAAACATAATAAACGAAATAATTCAATCGTGCATTTTTTGTTGTCAAAACGATACGTAGATCAAACAATAGACTGAAAAGAGGTTTTGGATCACCCCATTCAATTGTATTAATTTCTCTGCTATTGCAAATGCATGTTAATTCTTCCATATTACGATAGTCACCTGACTTGCCGTAAGAGGGCTAAATATATGAACAAACTGGGTGATTCATAACTTCTTTCGAGTGATATATCATTTGGCATACTGATAAAAAGATAGATCGTTTAAACCATACATTGTTTCAACTGTTACCCTTGTTTTACCTTGCAAACAATACGAAATAAATTTGTTTGCTTTGACACACAAAACTAGAAGAGATGATGTACAGTAAACTAACTCACAGGGAATTCTGATGTTAGTTCGGTATAACCGCAGTGCGAGATAAAATATATGCAAGTAGCCGGGACCGAAAGAAAAAGTTCGTTATATCCGTCAGTTCGTTATAAGCCTAGTTTACTGTACTTACTGTCTTCAGTCTTCACAGCCTTGGCGTACGTATCTCCGGGTGCCAGTTTACATTCGTACTGGTCACAGTTGACGTCAAACGTCTCATTCAGCTTCTTGCAGCTGTCGCCAACCTTGCAACCTGATCAAACATGACATAAAGAATCAAACCCCAATAAGCCCTACACACTAGCCCAGGAGACAAAGATTCCTCAATCTGGCCATTTGCTTGTGTGTTTTTTTCTGGATTGTCCGGATTGATGTGTGTGCGTGCGTGCGTTTGCGTGCGTGCGTGCGTGTGTGTGTGTGTGTGTCGTTAGAGGCGACTTAACGGATAGGGTGCACGTGATTGCTGTAGGTCTTTGTTGACTTAAACCAAATGTATTCTATATGATGTCCATAGAAATACATGAAATGTATCTTTCAGACAGACCTTTCTCTATTATAGTAACGGACTGGATTCTCAATTACTGATCTTGAGATAACGGGTTGATTCATCCTCGCTATTCCAGGGTGTGTTATTTCCATTCTACTATTCTATCCTGGAAAACGTAGCCTGTTTCATTTTCCGAAATTAAGTAACTCAAGCATGAGATAAATTATGTGCGCTGTCACTGATAAAGGGGATGCTGAAATCACATCCTGAAAGAGGCTCGGGTTGTTGCCAAATTAACATGGAGGTAAAATACCCTGCATAATAGAAGATGGGTCGAGTTTGTTATGAAGGAATAAACTCATGATAATGAAGTGATGCATTGTCATTTGGAATGTGGGTTGGAGAACGCGAAATCGTTGCACTTTTAAGGATTAAAATATCATGGAAAACTTCAAATAGCATCTTTACTGACCATATTCCTTGACGAACGTCTTAAGAGTCTTGCGTCCCTGGACCATTTCCTCCTCGCAGACCACGTCGTGGCAGTAGTACTGCATGGAGTCACCCAGTGGAAGGTCCTTGTCCCCAACAATGCACATATCTATAATAGAGATGTTGCATCCAGTACCAAGTCAAAACATTGATTACACAACAGTCTCGTTTCCTGCTGCCTGGGTTCTGTCCTGTTGCGCAGCTTAGTACACTAAGCAGTCATGAATTTTTAGATCAACTCATTCAACTGGATATATAAATATTAATCAGTATTATTTGATACATCTAAGCGCTTGTATATTGCAACACTACGCTCATTCTAATCCTTCCAAACACGTCTCGCAGTGTGCTCTCACAAACAAATCTGGAAATCGTGGAAATCTCAAAACGAGGCACGGCCGCTAGAAAAGTTTGGCGGCCTGGTACGGACTTAATATTATATCAATCACATTGTACGTTACAAAAATACACTTAAAAAGCGCAATGAACACATAACCAGTGAGCCAGATGAATTGTGAATCATTGTACGACCTCTTCAAACAGGGGCAGTCTGTGACGTCTTAGTTAACGACATGCTGCTTAAACCTCGACATAAAATATAGAAATACGATTTTTTTTAAAACTTTAGAATTAAAATTAATTTGTAAATACCATTTTCTTATGAAACAAGGAATTTGAAATTATTGTAACCATAGTTGTTTGTAGTGTGTCTTTTCACTTTCACCCAAGAAAATTCGAATCGGCTGAAAGGTGGGTCATTGTCTGAATTGGTTAATGAGACTCATGTTTCGGTTTCGGTTAAAACACAATAACACGTACATGGTAGTAATCTAATACATTTTGGTGTCTTCATGAAATTACATCTTTAAATTGATACTGTATGCATTACAGAATCATTTTTCATGATATGCATAGGGATGAACGATTATCATCACTAACGTCTTAATTTTTACAACACAAATCTCTTTAAAATCAAGACCTTGGTACACACGTCACGACAAATGTCCGCTTTCGATTCCCCTCATTCACCCAATATCTGGTGTCCCCAGCCCTGATATTGCTGTGATACTGCTAGATGCGGCGTAAAACCTTACTCATACAGTGACTTACTCACAATCACTCATCCACTCAGTGTATATTACTCGCTCACACACACGCTCTGAAATATCAACACGGGCTTCCTTTCTAACTATGACGTTTCTCGAAAGAGTATATATCGACTTATATCATACCTTTTCCAGTACATCTGTAATTGTGACCATCGACCACTTTCCTCTCGCCTTCCTTTATGCATGTGCTGTCCGGGAGGAGACATTCTAAAACAAAACAAAAAATCTGTTTTTAATGATATAATTTAATCATTAAATTAAAACCCCATGTACATCACTACATACTTTCACACACAAACTCACAAAAGAACTTAAATATGTCTGTGTTCACTCAGTAGTGAATCCATTACTTATGGATTACAATAACTTTCATACGCTTTGCGGACTGCTTCGTTCTGTATACTCTCAAAGGAGCTGGGAAGAATAAAATGTCTGCGTGCGTGTGTGTGTGTTCGATCTTCGTTAAAAACTATCTTACATTAGAAAAGAAATGTACACAGAGACAACTCCATTAAGTTTAATGGATACCTTTGCTTTTTCACTAAATCAAATTATTTTAAACGACAACATGCTAAATCCTCAACGGTTTCAGCTTAATCCAGTTTTTATGTCATGTGCACAGGGTGAGTAGAGGTGATATTTTCGAAAGTTCTTTTTAAAATGTCAGTGTTATTCTAACGCGACATAGATCAGCTAAATGTCGCTGTATGGAGCCCTGGCGCCCAACGATGACGTGAACTGTTGATCCACCATCACACACAATGACGTGAGCCGTTGATCTACAATCACTCGCGCTCTGAGATGTGAGCAAGACATGTCTGGCCTAGCGGTTAAGCCCTTCCTTTAAGAACAAAAAGCTTGGTTTACGATCCCCTTAGATTTAACCTTACACATCTATAGACGGTGAAGATAAGTAAATCTGGACAACGGACAACGGAAAAACTATAAATTTGTTTAAATCCACTGAAAAAGTTTAGAGTGAACATTTGTTGGATAAACATTCAATGCGTTTATATGTTTCCATGTTGTCAAGAAATCAGAATATTGAAATCATTAAATGATATGTCCTCCCAGTTCGTATGTGGTTTTGTACATAATTCATTTTAGGAAATTGTTTGTGAAAGTGACCGACAAAATTTTAAAAACATTATCTGTAGCCAAATGAAAGTTTCGCAAATGGTCCCACATCAAATACAGGAAGTTCGGCATAGCTTTATATTTTGTATCATCCTCGCCGTTGGGATTCTGTTTCGAAAAGTATCTGATGCAGTCGGTAACTTTCTTTTTTTAACGAATCTTCTGTTTGAAAGAGAGTACAATATTAAAAAAATAATGATGGTTGCCAAGCAGTGAATACTTCTATCGTTTGTAAACAAGCCTCTCCGCGTTGTGCCTAAAACGGAGTTTGTTCCCTTTGTTCTTAAAATGAACCATTTCGCCATCTCAGTGTTTACAACCGTTCCAAAATACATGATACCCGCGAAGATCCGGGGTAGAATAGATCTTCAGTAGCCTATGCTTGTCGTAAGAGGCGACTAACGGGATCAGGTGGTCACGCTCGCTGACTTGGTTGACACATGTCAACGTATCCCAGTTGCGTAGATTGATACTCATGCTGTTGATCACTGGATTGTCTGGTCCAGACTCGATTATTTACAGACCGCCGCAATACAGCTGGAATATTGCTGATTGCGGCGTTAAACAACAACTGGCCCAGTAGCTTGGTTGATTGCGTCCCATCGCATCCCAATCGTGTATCACAATATAGATCAAATGGTTGTCTTGTCTGGATTTGGTTATTTACAGTCAAACTCCATACAGCTGGAACATGTATGAATGAAGCATTAAACTACAAACAAGTTAAAGTTAAAGTAATCATAAAATTCATCATAAGGACTTACGCAAAGGTTGACCTGGAGCCTTGTCAATCTTCAGCGTCCTGGTGCTGTTTTCGTAGGTACACTTCATCCTGTAGCATCCTAACACAGGACTCTGTTCCTCCTCGTTTACCTTCAGACAGTCCCCATTGGACAGCTTGCACGCTGGGGGGTACAACACACACTATTCCTTAATATATGGTCTATTATTCCCGAGTTAAAGGTAGACATCGAACGTTCGTTACATGCGAGGCATAATCTCGAACGAGGCTTACATTATCGTACTATGTTTAAGCGCCAAGGAGCTTTCATCTCGTAAATACTGACTGGACGTTTTAACAATTATGTGGTGTACTGAAAGGGAACTTCACTGTGACTTTGAATTTCAATAATGCTGTTTTTTCTACAAAGTTGCAGGGAGTAATTAGTGATTGAACTTGGTACTTTTATATGATAAATTGGTTAAATATGCGTTTATGCCTACCATCTACCAAGGAAACTACATAGGTGATTTTGAGAATATTGGACTCATGTAGCTGCGGCAAAAACAATACAAATATACTATTTCTTTCCAAAACGTCATCTTTGTGTTGTGTGATTGTAAACAGCTTCAGTGCCAAAACGCGGCGATTTTAACTTTTGAAGAAATATTCGCAAAACGCCACCAAGAAAACACGCAAAACAAATCGCAAGTGCAAAGTAAGCGGAAAAGCATGAGGTATCCATCACTATAAAAAGGCAAACGTTGTGTTTATTCGTCATTCGTTTTTGCTTCGAAAAGGATCGTCAGGAATCGATTGCGTGAAGTGGGGATTCGAACAAGAAGGTCAGTTGTCGCCCCTGTTTTGAGATACTTCCATCGGCGCAATCGCTTGCTGTGGTGTCGTAGAGTCCGGAACTGGAACCTTAGAAACTAAAGACGAGTCTGGTTCAGTGATGAATCACGATTTCTTCTTCACCGAGATGGAAGACTTTGGTTATTACCGTCGGAGAAATGAACGTTTTGCCCCTAAATGCATTCGAGAGGTCGACAGATTCGGTGGAGAAAGTGTCATGGTGTGGGGAGAGATATCCAGCACAGTAAGATCTGATTTAGTGGTGGTACAGGAGATTTGACAGCAAACCATCGGTACATCAACGAAGTCATTGTACGTCACATGCTTCCGTTGGAGTAGTTCCAGCATGACAACCCTACTTCAAATTCAGCACGCGTCAAGGTCCGCTACCTTGCCAATTCTAACGTCAATGCCTTGCCATGGCATTCCCGATCACCAGATCTAAACCCGATACATAAGGGATGAACTCGATACACTTCCACAACTCAGCCTCAGACACTTCCACAACTGGCCACCGCATTGCAGGGAGAGTGGGGAAGAATTCCGCAAGCGCGACATCGTCGGCTCATCCAGTCTGTGCCGAGCCGGTGCCGAGCTGTAATTGCTGCTAATGCTGATCGTACAAAGTACTGACTTGCCATCTTATGGACTCAAGTAAACACAAACACAACAATACAGGCTGCTGGTATGTTGGCGAACTCTTTGCCTATAGAGGTGTGGAATTCCAACTTTTCACAATTGAAATTACATGAAATAACTGCTCTTAAACTAACGCAATAAATTCTTCTAAAAATAGCTTCTGCGTTTCTTGTTTTGAAGAGTGTATCTACCTGCTTATGATATAGTCGGGAGTCGTACAAAGGACTGCGGTTTTAGCTAGATTGCTATGATCGAGGAAATGCGTTTTGTCGCTTTCTTTAACGTAATATAGGCCATTAAAGACTTGGTACACATTCATCTAAGAACCATATTATTCACACTGCTGTCGCACTGGTACTCACAATAATCAATTTTCCCGTTTGGCCAACAATAGGCGCATATCTTGTCATTGGAGTAGGAGAATGGACCGAGAGGGTAGCATTCATTGTGGCAACGACAAGCTGAAACAAAGTAATAATAATAATGGACACACATAAAGTGCCTGCATACACGCACGTGTGCATGCCCAAAGCGCTAAGACATTATTAACCCGGTTAACCCAAACTGCTGCAAAGCGCTAGAAAGTTAACAACCACATGACTTATCCCACCGTGTACCCACTGTTTGGTGAACAGAGGCAATTTTGAACAAACTCACTTGCCTAGGGTGAGACCACATGTGTCACGTGTGCCTCGTTGTGAGGCAGGACAGAAGTCCAAGAAACTCTCAGGAGTCGAGCTGCCAAAGTATCAGTGATTGTATTGTAAATCCTATTCCAACTCAAATATTACCTATTTGTTTCCTTTTGGTGTGATATCACAAACTTGTGGTGGTACTAATGACCAGGTAGATGGGCTGTGGTCAAAGAATTCGAATGTTCGAATCTCAGATCTGCCTTATTATGATCCTTGGTCTGTGACTACCATTCCTGGTTTTGAGGGGTTTAACACTGTGGTAATAGCTACCACCTGCGATCCTGTGATTTTGGATGGATATGGAAAGTGTTTTGTGGCTTTTATTACCATTAATGAAGGATCAGGGAGATGGAAGTGATATAAATTAAAAACAGCATTGAAAAGAGTAACCAAATACTCTCACAATGTTACAACTCATACAAAGTATCGTCATTATTTTAAAGATGCTCTTTGCACCCATTCGATATTTCTAGCATACTATGTATGTGTAAATAGCGATTGTAATGAGTATTGGGTGTACAAGATGGCTGATGTTTATGGACAGACCTTCAAGGAGTACGATAGACTATCAGCTATGAACATGTCGATTGTCTAGCATCGTACTTAAGTGACTCCTTAGGTTTAATGCAACAATTGTTATACTTGAGAAGGCATGTTGCATTTGACCACTTTTCAGAAGGCATTGTGTTTCCTTGGGTTTAATACTTCATACTGTACTACACTTGAATACAGGGTTTTCTCAACTCATTCACCCAGGTTGCATATTTAATGTAATAACTTTTCAATTTTTCAACCTTTTCGTGCTTCTCGGTGTTGTCTGGTCAGCTGAAGCGATAACCTTTCTCCACGAGAATAATACTCTGTGACATATTCATGATCACGACATCACAAAACTTTATAATATAAGGTCAAGTTAACACAATGTGGCGGCAAATTTTCCCTGTAGTACTGACATTTCTTCATAACCGGTTCCTTCATCTATCTGTTAGAAGGGAAATGAGTAATTTTGAGATTAACCTCATCACCAGGAAAACGAATGAATGCCAATAGTCCGTAATGCCTCTGGGTCGCTGGCTATTTTCGAAATATTCACAACCAAGCGTGATTTCAAGTGACGTTGATAACGGCGTTGTCTAAATGCTACAATTCTGCGACTACAATAGAGAACAACAGTTCATTGCAAACCTCTGACTTCAGTTTCTCCAAGAGCTCTGCAACTATAATAATAAAATAATAATGATAATAACTAGAGACTGCTACGAGAGGTCGTATGGAGTTTTCTAACGTGTTGGTTGGTCTTCGGCTTCAATAAACCTCATGACGTTGGCTTGTCGGACGCACTGCATGGTCTTGCAGTTGAGACGGACTGTCTTCCCCTCGTTGTAACACTTGCCCTGATGTCTGCAGCCTGTCAACAGGACAACCTGCATTAGCCTCTTTATTTGTATATGAAGATATATGTGTAGAGCTATGTCATTATCCATTATTTTCTATCAATGTCTTTGTGATCATCGATCGATCGGTCGAAAAATTCGTAAAATTAATCGAGAGAGCGAGAGCGAGACTATTCTACTGATTTTACGAACGTTTCAAATCCAAAATGGTTTTCTGATATTTGTATTCTCATATTGCTTCGATTACATTGTCTGTGAATATATCCAAATGTTTATACTGAGAATTACGTTTCCAAGAAAACTACATGATGCAGTTTAACGTTACAACGCCGAATCTATGGCAACGTTACCTCCTTCAAGACGAGTTTCATTTCCCTCAGCAACACAGGTGAGGCATCGACTCTGATCGACAATTTCGCCAGCTTTGTAACATTTGCCCTCAAGACCACATTCTAAATAGGAACAAAATCAAGCTCAGTATGTAATTAATCGTTTCCAGAAGAACATAATTTGATTCACACAATTTAGACCGTCACTGATACACACAGTTTACGCCGTCACTGATACACGCAATTAGGCCGTGACTGATACACATAATTTAGGCCGTCACTGATACACACAGTTTACGCCGTCACTGATACACATAATTTAGGCCGTCACTGATACTCATAATTTATGTCAGCACATGATATAGGAAATGTTGGAGTGAGTGAGTGAGTGAGTTGGGTTTTACGCCGCTTTAAGCAATAATCCAGCAATATCACGGCGGGGGACACCATAAATGGGCTTCACAAATTGTGACCATGTGGGGATTCGAACCCGGGTCTTCATAGTGACGAGCCAACGCTTTAACCTTTAGGCTACCCCACCGCCCCAGGCAATGTTGGAAAGCCACGAAGTACTGTAGCAGTGTCAAACGTATGCCTATGGAAAAGACCGCCTCCGTGGTGTAGTGGTTAGAGCGTCCGCCCGGAGAGCGGAAGGTCACGGGTTCGATCCCCGGCCGCGTCATACCAAAAGACGTTAAAATATGGTACTTGTTGGTCCCTGCCTGGCGCTCGGCATTAATGGGTACAACAAGGACTGGTTGGCTCGGAGACAGTATAATGTGTCTGAGTGGGGTATTCATGCTTCACTGCGGCATGGTACTCTCAGTGGGCTAGCACTATAAAACCACCTTAAATCTGGGCTAGTACAAGCAGCCGCACATACACATACACACGCATGCACGTTGTCATATGAGCGAAATATTCTCATGCACGACGTAAAACCCAATTTCACCACCACACTTATGGAATATCGCCAGTCTATTGATTGACATTATGAACGACGATCACCTCAACTGGGTACGGTGACCCGTGAACAACCAAGTCACTTATACCAGGCAATAAGATGTGTGGAATATCTGTGCAAACTGCAAATAAAGCGCTCGAAAAGCTTATAACTCACACATCTTTTCCTTGAGGTAATCTTGATCGAAATGAAAAGAAACGGGGTAAACAAATCGTCGGTTATTGCACATACCAACTGGAGTCACAATGCCATCCACTGGAAACGGGTAATGGTTTGCTAAAGCATGGACTTAGTGTACGTACGTGCTGTCAGTTGTCTGATGCCGTACTTGGTGCACTGGAAGGTGTTGCAGTTGATAGTTTTGTTTGTGTCCTCCTCAAACGAAACGCCATTGACTTTGCAGATGACCTTCTCTGAAACGAAAATACAAGCACTTGGAGTTATAGATGGGTGTCCTTTAACTCATTTAGTAATGTTGTAGTTCTCAAAGTTAAAGTGGTGGTGGTACTAGTAGTAGTAGTAGTGGTTGTTGTTGTTGTGGTAGTAGTAGCTGCAGTAGTAGTAGTAGTTGGTTGGTTGTTAAACGCCGCAATCAGCATGTGATGTTCGATCGGGGTTCGATAGGACGCAATCAACTAAGTCACTGGGCCAGTTGTTGGTTAACGCCGCAATCAGCAATATTTCAGCTATATTGCGGCGGTCTGTAAATAATCGACTCTGGACCAGACAATCCAGTGATCAAAAGTATGAATATCAATCTACGCAATTGGGATACGATGACATGTGTCAACCAAGTAAGCGAGCCTGACCCCCGATCCCGTTAGTCGCCTCTTACGACAAGCATGGGTTTCTGAAGATCAATTCATGTGTCACCCAAGTCAGCGAGCCTGACCCCCCGATCCCGTTAGTCGCCTCTTACGACAAGCATGGGTTTCTGAAGATCAATTCTAACCCGGCTCTTCACGGGTAGCAGTGGTGGTAATAGAGGTAGTAGTAGTAGCAGTAGTAGTAGTAGCAGCAGTAGTAGTAGTAGTAGTAGTACTCACTCTCAGAAGCGCCTGTGGTCGATTCCTGACAGGTGTATTTCTTGCCATCACCGCAGGTGACTGACTCTCCGGGCCGCACGCACTTGCCACACTGGTTACAGGCTAAAGGAGATACACCGAAAACAGTTGGTAAGTCAGGGTGGCAGAGCAGGCTTATCAAATGTACAGATATACAGAAAGGTGGGATCACGGAAAGATCACAGTATACTGATCGTACCTGTAATAACTACGAAATCGTGCGATTATAATGACCAGTGGGTCGAACCTCAGAAATCAGATATTGTTGTGTGGGGATCAGACCTGATTTTGTCCAGTAATGCTGATACCATTATCTTCCCACAGAGGTTACTTGTCATATCTTCCTACGAACCTCTGTTCTAATACGAACCTTTCATGGTGCGAGTGTTCATGATTCGTGATTGGTTGCAATCAGTTTTAGTTGTGCAATCAGCGACGTTGTTTCGAAAGTGATCATTCGCAAGGACTCGGTAATTTCCGTAGGCTTCGAGAAAACTGGAACCTCTTCCCCTGCGCGATACGCAAACGTTTCTTCTAGACAGAACTCAGTCATGTAATGGCGGGTCAATGGCGTCACCATCGCCCTCGTTGACAACGGACAAGCTTGCCATTAAATGTCAACACAAGTCCCCGGCAGAGAAGAGGGATAGTTGTGGCCCCATTTTTACTTGCATCGATGTAACACGTGTTCTGATTGGATAGAAAGAAGGGAGGTAATTCGTGTTGCGATTTTTTGCCGCTAGCGGATTTTACGAGAACCGGGAAATATGGTCGTATTAGAACAGAGGTTCGCAGGAAGATATGACAAGTAACCTCTGTGGGAAGAGAATGTGCTGGTACATGCACGTACACGATGACACTTAAGTATACAATACAGTAAACTATGGTTATAACGAACATAAAGGAACTACTAAATTCCGTCCATTATACGCATTTCGACTACCACATACAGGAGGTGCCCAGAAAAGGCAGCTCGTAATCTGTTCGCCGTACGCGTTTTTCGTTAAAAACGTACTTTACTGCATGTTGATCTCGTTTAAAACTATCCCTGCAGTCAAGTTACAGAAACTCATTTACATTTTAATATGCCAGTTCGTCTTATCTGCATGTCGAATAGGGATGTCACGATACATAAGTTTCATTAATCGATACGTATCACGATACCCATGCCACGATTCGATACGTATCACGATACCTATTTTCGCGGCATTATTGCGTAAATTTAGTTACATTTGGAACATTAATATTGCATATTTTATAACTGTCCATGAAAAGATCAACATTTTTATTCTCAGATTAAAAAATTCTAATTTCCCATCTATGTGCATGAAATATAATCAATTATAACTCTCATAACCTTAAAAAACATGATACAATTGCAAAATGTAAACGATACATAAATATATTTAAAACGATACATTCAAAACTAAATGTCGATACAGTTTTGAATGTATCGATAATTGTATCGTCTTAGAAAAAGTATCGTTAAATCGATGTATCGATGTATCGTGGCATCCCTAATGTCGAATTCGTAACACGTAAAGGTAACCCGTGTTTTCTGTCTGAAGTGCCAAGAAGCCTTTCCGAAATTCCCACATTGTGTCTCACGAGTGCAGCAGCTGTACGGATTCTACTCATCTTAAGCAACAGTGCACTGATGTCACGATGGGGAATACCAATAATCATCCGTGGGGTATCGAACCCAAATCTTGACGCGACTTTTTGACACCGTGTCTGCTCACCTACGCTTGGCGGCCCTCCGGTTTGATGGTCACAGTAGTAACAGAACCCTTCTCTCACCGACGTCGTGTTATAGACCACACAGTCTTTCTCCGACACTTGGCAGCTGGCTGGAAACACAAAGCTAGGGCTGGTCATTTATTACAGGTGTGGGTGGGTCAGAGAGAATCAAAACATCTTATGGTGAGGGTCATACAAAATAATCCACATAATCGAGGAAGGTGGAAGTAAAATTGACAATTTACCGTAAACTATAAACTTCTTCTGAATAGAGTATTTTCTTGAAGGTCATGAATGGGAATGGTCTCCCGAAAATATTATGATGATGTTCATTGTTTAATACATGAAAATACCCTGGCCCACAGACCCTCGTAATAAAGGACCCGTTCCTTAGAACGATGCCACAGGATTGCATTCAGTGAATGCAGAACGAACATGGGGATTCAGTAATTTACTTTATTTTGTAGTTACTAGAAAATATTTACGAGAAAACTGCATTTGTCTAGCGCTCGAACCAGCCAACTATTCCGGTAATATAATAACACTGGTAAATCTGAAATCAAGTAACGAGTGAATGTACGAGTCACTCTCAAATCTGTAATCGAACAACATAAGAATACCAATCCCATAACATAATACTAATCATGAAAAGTATTCAGATTTCTGGAGTAAAATTCATCCTGCTTTTATTCATTTTCTTAATATCCATATTTACAATGCGTAAAAACGGCATATGTGTACCGCTGTATATGGAACCTGCTGTGGAATTACACCTCTAGCCCGTTAGCCCTCTGTTGGATTGATACTGCTTTTGGCGTCTTTAAATATAGATCATTGAAAACATTCCGGAATCCAGAGGTTTGGTACAGGCCTGCACAACCATGTAGAAACATATAACCAAATACTTCCCGGTCACCTTTCAACAAAATGACACCAGTCTCATATAGAATCCAAATCGGTTGGCGCAGCGAATAGGTCGCTTTCTGGTATCCCAGACATACATTTATACGTCAGTGCTGGGTATACTGAAGCGCACGTAGAATCCCCTAGAAAACACACCTCGGTTGCCAGCTAAAATAATCTACAGTGAGACTACCTCATATTTTAAAACAAAGTTGGGTTATCTCCTAATTTGCGCCTAAAAATATCAGTGGAACTATAGACAATGAAACCTATCAGATGAGTGAGTTTTTATAAAAGGCGTACTGGTCATTTGAAACCCCGTTATTCTGTACATGTCGGATTTGCGAGTCTTTGATAAGGCGCGTTTGAAACCCCGTTATTCTGCACGTGTTTGGATTTGCAAGTCCTTGTTTAGGGGCATTGGTCAATTTACACCCCGTTATTCGGTACGGGTCGGATTTGCAAGTCCTTGTTTAGGGGTATTGGTCAATTTACACCTCGTTATTCTGTAGGCATCGGATGTGCGATTCATTGATGTTGCGTATTTGTCAATTAAAACCCCGTTATTCTGTACGTATCGCATTTGCGAGTCCTCGATAAGGTGTATTGGTAAATTTAAAATAACATTTCAGTAGTTTGCCAAGTGAAATAGCGCGGAGTAACCCTTATTTGTGAAACAAATTACATTATTCTTTCTTTCTTTCGTGTGTCTTCTTTTTAACATATTCCCCATGGTCTGGGAGACACAACGTATTACCAAAGTGTTCTTGCATAATTAATTTTCGAGTCCAAGTTCACAGTCACTGCATTATTTAAGGGATTCTTCAAGTCCACAGTTAATATACTAGTTAAGCGCTTGTTAACTTACTGGCGTTATGATACCACCATCCCACAGCGCCCCTGTTGGAGCAGATGAAGCTGTTACAGAAGAAGTCGTGTACGGCGCCTTTCTTGAAACATTGGTAGTTCCTGACATCCAGACACTCTGAAGACAACAGAAAGTGTTGGGTGAGTTGAACAGTATATGAAAATCATAGGGGCGGAATTAAGCGAAAGCGGATACCTTCCGATATTCGATTCTTCCATTATTCATTATAGACCAATCAAATTACACTCGTATTGCATGATTAAAACAATTGGCGATATCACCAGTATTCAACTCGATTGGTTCAATTACTTAGAGCGTATTCTATCCATTTCCTGTACTCATAACCAGGAAATCATGTTTTCCTGAAAATACGTCCTTTATTACGAAATCCCAATGGTGCCACTTTGGAGACATAAATTATTTGCTTTTCTTGAACCGATATATCCAAAGACATTACCTGCACTAGCTCTTAGTTAGCACCAAAAGAATGCTTATACGTAGTTTTATATTTTAAGCGTAATTTGATTAAAATTTTGTATTGTATAAATACAGAACTGCTAATTGTTATCTGAGAATGATAGCTTTGAAAATCAACTTTGGTTTCTTGACACAAAGTTACGATATGCGTCTAGTGACTGGGCATTATTTTCTACTAATCCAGCCCCCGCTTATCTGTCACACTTGTGTGATTGTTAAGCAAACATAATGCAATCTAACAACAGACTATAATTTTCATAAAACACAAAATCAGTATACTTTCTTTACATAAATAGATAGATAGGACATATATAATAGATAGATATAGAGAAATAGAGATAGATAGATAGCTATAGAAAGATAGGTAGATAGACAGACAGCAGACAGACAGATAGATAGATAGAGATATTCAAAGACTAAATATAAATTTAGTAAAATTTCATCTTCAACATAATTTAATCTTTGAATGTAAAAGATAGTGTTTATGTTTCATATACATATATACATAAACAAACAAATACTAAATGGAAACAGAATCACCTGCGTGCCAGTAGTGCATCCCCGTCTTTGAGTCTCGCTTGCATGTATTGCATCCAAGACTGTACTTCACCCTGCCTTCCACATAGCACTGGCCCTGATACGAACATCCTGCACAGAAAGTTTTGTCATGTTGTCCGGACAAATACATAATATACTGGGACATATGTATGTATAAACAGTAGGCATAGATGCCCTTAGTTAGAGTACGGGTTGCGGGGTAGCCTAGTGGTTAAAGCATTCGCTCATCTCGCCGAAGACCCGGTTTCGATTCCTATCTTTGGTACTACGTGTAAAGCCCCTTTCTGGTGTTCCCCGTTGTGATATTAGTGGAATATTGCTACAAGCGACGTCTAACCCTACTCACTCACTCACTAGTTAGAGTACGAGTTCGATCTTCAACATAAGTACAATGTGTAAAGCTAATCTCTGTTGTCCTCTGTAGTGATTTTACTGCAATATTACTAAGGCGGCTTAAACCTCGCTCACTACCTCATACCAGACTGAGTGAGTTATACTCTTTACTACGGCTAGCCTAGTGGTTAGCCTAGTGGTTAAAGCGTTGGCTCATCTCGCCGAAGACCCGGGTTCGATTCCCCACATAGCTATAATGTGTGAATCCAATTTCTGGTGTCCTCTGTCGTGGTATTGCTGGAATATTGCTAAAAGCGGCGTAAAACCGCACTCACCAGCTCACTAACACGGCTATGGTAGTCACGAACCAAGGATCATAATCAGAACAAGTATAGGATCCGAACACACGATCACAGGATCACGGTATTCCTCGTATAGAGACCAACTCATCGTTCATGTTGTTGGCAATCGGTCTTTCATAGAATCGACCAGATACTGGCCGTGCATGTACATCTGTCCTACTGACAATAAAAGGGTTAAAAATATCATGCGATTGTTAATAATTGCATCGATCTACTCAATCGGGATACGATGAGATCCATCAACCATTTCTGCAAGCCTCACTCACAGATCCCGTTAGTTGCCTCTTACTACAAGGTTGCGATCCTGGGGTCCGTTCCACAAAGCGATCGTAGGGCTATGACTGTCGTAAGTCTATGTTAACGTATGGGAGTTACGATCATCTTAGCGCTACGATCGCTTTGTGAAACGGGGCCCAGGGCCTAGATTTTCGAAGCTCTCTTAGCACTAAGATAGTCGTAAATGCCATACATTAACATTAACTTACGACTATCTTAGCGCTAAGAGAGCTTCGAAAATCTAGATTTTCGAAGCTCTCTTAGCACTAAGATAGTCGTTAGTGCCATACATTAACATTAACCTACGACTATCTTAGCCCTAAGAGAGCTTCAAAAATCTAGGCCAAGACCCATTCTAATCAACCCGGAATAGCCAATTAACCATTGGAAACACTGACACTGAGTTTGGTCCAATGCATTTTCTGACAAGGACACTCTTCGACCCATCATCAAAGTCGAAGCTTATCCTTGTTTCCCTTCTTACTAAGTATTTGGGCTGCATTTGTGTAGTCGGGTAGTCCAAATCTCTAAATAATGGTGTTATTAAGATATATGTAGTTGCAGCATTACTGATCATGACTTTATGTCTACAGAGAAACGCATGACTTGAAACTCTACGCATTGTTGAAGGTGCAAGGTTTACATTTTTTTATATGTATGTATCTTTTGATCAGAATACCTTCCGTATAAAAGCCAGATGTTGACGAGCTTAGTTTAGTTTATATACCTCACATTCATCCATTGTGGACAAATTCTGCGTTATCGTTCCACACACGATTCAAATACCTCTCTCCCTCCAATCCCTCCCTAGCCATGTGATACTAATCTAAATACTAGTTACAGTGTATATTTGCGCTGCGTCACCTTCACGGCGTTGATTGCAATCTTAGGGCTGTCTGTTTTAATGAATCTCTATTTAGCCATCAGCTATGTTTGGGTTTCCCATTTGTTCGGTTGTATTTGAAGAATGTGTTCCTCTCCTATACAGAAAATAATAAAAACTTATCTTGCATCTTAAACGCACACGTGCCAACATATTCCATGGTATACCATCGTACCTGTTGTTGAGACTGTGTGGATCGACACGACATTGTTCAGAACTGCACAGGCCTTGATCTCACATCCGATCTGGACCTCTGACCCCGGTGACGCACACGTTCCGTCACTGAGCAAACAGCCTGTAGGTACAGAATGGTACAGAATACCGCCAACAGGTCATCACATAAATGAAAGTTTACTGTACAATAAACTATTAATTGTACTATCAATTGTACATCAGTGCCTAAAAACATGTTTTCGATAATGTCACAAAATACCTTGACGTTATTAGATTCCGAATTGATTACATCGAGCATGGATGTGGGATATAACCCATTGGCCTGCATTTTGACATCACTGATTAAGATACTGTTACTTAGTACAGTGAGACCTCGGTAATCAGGATTATGTTAATCCGGAGACTTCATTACTGATAACGATTGCGTATAACGTCAACAGAAGACTATAACAAAATTTGATTGTCTCTCGATAGAGACTCCAATGGGTGTAAAGGCAAAATGGCGGTGAACATAACATGAATGGACGCCATCATAAAGAGATGACACCGAGGCGACAATGCCTAGTAATACTATTTCTTCAGTCTGATAGTGTGTTAATTTCATGGGAAATGCTACCGTTCTGATTCCAATGGTTTCACTGTACTGAAATTACGAATTATTTCTCAACATTACGTCACGAATGAGAGGTGCTTATTACTTAAGTTTTTTAAATTATTAGGTTATTTTTCTGTACTCTGTATTTGAGGTTATTGCTACACCTGTCTCGTATGAAAATAGGGATAGAAGTCTATCATCATTAGCAGCAGCAGCATCAGCCATTGTCGCCACGTCACACAAAAAACGTCAATTAAAAACTAACGTCACCTGCACATATTTGAATCGTTGCCGACAATGTCTCCTGCCTTCATGGCTCGCTGCAACGAGGTTCTCCTGTAGTATTGCCACTATCAATATGTTTGTTTCGTACCTGCCATTACGCCCGTCGTGTTATCTTCATTCTTCTGGCACTTGGTGCACAGATTGGGCCCATCGCCGGCGCTGTAGCACTTCCCCCCGATGCTGCAACCTAATGCACAACATCATCAGCCATGGGGAGAGGAAATAATGTACGTGATGAAATTCAACACACTTACTCATTGTGTACATTCGGTGTTTTGAAAATGTGAATAACATTGATCCTGTTTTAGTTCTGTGGGAGCAAGATATCTTATGTTATAAAATCAGTAGTCTCGCGATAATAGATATTATAGATAGATATAGTTTGTATTAATCAAGGGGTGTTCCTGTGATGATGAATAATCAAAGGGTTTTCATGTCATCAACAAAGGGATAATGTGTGATGGTAGATAACCACGGGGCATTCTTGTGATAATAGATACTCCAGTGGTAATCATGTCATGATGGATAATCTAAGAGGTATTCATATGATAATAGATAATCTCAGGCGTGTTTTATATGATAATAGATAATCATAAGGGATATTTATATGAAGTGAGATAATCAAGGGCTATTCACGTGAAGAGAAATAATCTATGGGTGTTCATGTGATGAAAGATAATCTAAGGGATATTTATATGAAGTGAGATAATCAAGGGCTATTCACGTGAAGAGAAATAATCTATGGGTATTCATGTGATGAAAGATAATCTAAGGGATATTTATATGAAGTGAGATAATCAAGGGCTATTCAGGTGAAGAGAAATAATCTATGGGTATTCATGTGATAATAGATAATCTAAGGGATATTTATATGAAGTGAGATAATCAAGGGCTATTCACGTGAAGAGAAATAATCTATGGGTATTCATGTGATGAAAGATAATCTAAGGGATATTTATATGAAGTGAGATAATCAAGGGCTATTCACGTGAAGAGAACTAATCTATGGGTATTCATGTGATGAAAGATAATCTGAGGGACATTTATATGAAAATAGATAATCAAGTGGTATTCATAGAATGACAAAGAATCAAGGGCTAGTCTATGATGATAGATAATCTAGGGTAATTAATGTGATGATTCATAATCTAAGGGTAGATATTAGATTGGTATTTGTATGCTCTGAGATAATCAAAAGATATGTTCATGGTGATAGATAATCAAGGGGTATTATTGTGGTAATAATCAAGGAGTAATTGAGAGAAGAGGGGTAAACAAGGGTCTGCATGTGAGGATAGAAAATCAAAACCATGCATTGCCCGATAACCAAGTGCAGTCCCCAATCTGAATGTCACACAGTAGATTGTCGTCATGCAAGATCTTGACTGGGTATTTGGCAGTTCGCAAAACATAAAGATGCCATCAGACACGTATACACTGAACACCAGACTGTTGGTATATTACAGAAAGGGATACTGATGTCTTCTTTCATTCTACTCTTGACTTTCAAACTCACGTGTTTTCTGATCGGGATCCTTTGTCAGCACACCGTGCGCTACATCCTTGTGATAGGTGCACGTGTAGGTCACACAGTCCATCTCCTCCACATCGTTAGGCTTCAGACATGTGGTGGCGTTCACCTGGCTCCTGCAACCTGGTAACATGGCGTGCAGTCAGAGTTATGGCTACCAGAATGATTGATTGAGTTTAGTTTTACGCCGCACTCAGCAATATTACAGCTGCATGGCGGCGGTCTGTATATAATCGAGTCTGGATCAGACAATCCAGTGATCAACAGCTTGAGTATCGATCTACGGACCTGGGATACGAGGACATGTGTCAACCAGGTCAGCGAGCCTGACCACCCGATCCCGTCAGTCGCCTCTTACGACAAGCATGGGTTCATGAAGATCAATTCTAACCCGGATCTTCACGGGTCCATGGCTACCACACATGTACCGATATCAGTAGTACCCACAAGGCAACAGAGGTAACCTAAGACTGGTAGTGTTTTCACCCAATTTTGGTAATAAGGAAAAGCTCGTCAGGTTTCACTACATGTGGTATGCGCATTCATTTGAAGATTGAGTGGGTGAGTTTAGTTTTACGCCGCTGTTAGCAATATTCCAGCAATATCACGGCGGGGAACACCAGAAATGGGCTTCACACATTGTACCCATGTAGGGAATCGAACCCGGGATGGAACAGCGCCGGCACGCACTTCAGGTGCAACTCAGCACAGCCTGCTAATAGTCAGGATACGGCCGGTGCTGTTCCACCAGCCGTCTGTCACCCCTTGGTGTGAAGAGTGAAAATAGACCAATGTTACATGATGGTTTCTGATCATATAGCGTCAGATTTCAGATGCTGATGGGTACAGAGGTTTCAGGACCATGCGTCTTATTTTATGTTTTGTGCATTTATTCCTATTTCGAGTTATTTAATCATTCATCGTTCTCATTTGAACCCAAACGGACTGAAGTGATTTAGCATGACTAATTTAAATACATTTACCTTGGCTAAACTGAAACATTCAGCGATAGCTTAAAAATAGATATCACCTCTTGTTTGTAAACCATTTGAGTGTATTGAAAATGTGTAACTTCAGAAGAAGAGGTGCTTAAATGAATAAGCAAATCCCGTTCACGTAATTATATTTCCCTCAATAACATTTTGTTAAAATGGAAATTAAAATTTATTCACCTAAGCAGAAAGCCAATAAGTAACATACAGACTGAGGAACACAGAGTATATGTACATATGAGCCTTAATCAAGTACCACCCAATTATTATATATGATAGGTACACAAATACTCATGTTGTTGTATAAGCTTTGGGGGGTGGCTGGGGTGGCTGGGGTGGTCTAGTGGTTAAAGCGTTGGCTCGTCACGCCGAAGACCCGGGTTCGAATCCCCACATGGATACAATGAGTGAAGCCCATTTCTGGTGTCCCCCGCCGTGATATTGCTGGAATATTGCTAAAGGCGGCGTAAAACCAAACTCAGTCAGTCAGTATAAGCTTTGAAAAGTAAAATGGGTACTGTGACATATTTCAATCTGATAAAAGCAAAATCAAAACAAAAATTGAAATTTGTAACAATTTACTTGCAATCAGAGTGGAACACATAAAAACCTGACAATCAACAATGCCGGAAACATCAGGACTCATTGTCACACAGTTTAATTTTTTTTATTGCTGTCATTGTATGAACCACCATCACATCAGTTGTAGCAGTGTAGCCAACCCTCGCACAGATAAAATCTGCGAGTCTCCTCCTCAAGCTGGCAATCAAGCGTAGATTCTCAGCATCGAAATCCTCTGCCATTCTTCGTGGAGTTCCTATGTGGATTCCTGCAGATTGTGAACAGGAAGATCATAAGCTCGAACTTTGCGTCCAGAGAGTCCCAAAGATGTTCGAAGGGTTCATATCGGGGCCAAGGTAATGTCTGCAAATGGGCGACCACAGCTCAAGGAAAATTAGGTTTGGCGTTGTCATCCATCAATATATCGGACGACTGGCAAGAGGATGGTTATCAAAATGTGGTACGACGGCGGTATCTGGTACTTTCTGATGATAACGTCTACTATGGCGTGCCCCAAGTACTGTAGTGGGATCCAACATGCAGTCACAGGAAACGCAACCCAACTACATCACCGAGCCACCACCAAAGGGTTCAGCTGCATGGATCATTTCCTGGCGATAGGCCTCATTACGACGTCTCCATACGCGACAACAACCGAAGGTGACGGGTAGGAAATATCATGTCCTCAAGATGCGGAATTATCGAAGACCCTGCACCACGCCAGACATTCCTACCTATGCCTGTGTTAGAGGAAGGGACGTCTAATCGCCCTCAGACAAGTCGCATCCTTCTGATGGTACTGATGGAGAGTCGGCTCCCTCTCTCTATTAGCTTCTGCCTGGGGCATCGGATTGCGTCTTGTCAGATGAATTAAGACTCAGCCATCACGCTCATTAGTCACAAAAGCCTCCTAAATTTAGGAGGTCGTAGCCCATACGACCTTGTTTACGACCCTCTTCCGACCTCCTTTACGACCGTTTCACAAAGACGTCATATCCATGTCGTACGACGCGGTCCTAAATCCATGTCGTACATTGTATAAGAGGTACTTTGTTGCATAGCAACGCATAAAGCGAGACCGAACGGGCACCCTCTTATCTTGTTATTCCCAAAGTATTTCAAAATAGAAATACAGTTTGAATAACAATGCAAATGTTATGTTTTTAATTCAATGTACAGGTTATCTTATCGTAAAAAAATATCAATAAATGAATTATTTCGGATTCTCTCACTAAATTCCATTGAAAATTACAAGATAAAATTGTATAAATCATTTCCATTAATATTATCAGTTTTACTTATAAGGTTTGAATTAAATCGCTGTCCATTAACTTGTTCATATGAAACTGCAATATTAGTCCCAATGTATTGAATATTGCACACTATATGACCTAAAGTCAATGTTGCAGTTATGGCTACGCTTGATCTACTAACACGTGTGTAAAGGTTTAAAATATGGTGTGATACTCTAAATGTGTCCATTTCTTTTGTAACGTGTTCAAGAGATAAGTAGTGCGTACGAAACACGTATGACGTGGTCACATAAGCTCCGCCCACTCATGTTTATTTATGATTTCTGTGCACTTAAGACCATTGTGCGTTTAAGGGCACAACAGACGTGTGACATCACAACCGATGACCGATTTCTTACGAAATGGCGGCTTCGCTGACAAGGGTACACAGGATTTTGCGGGGACTCTTCCCTTGATTCAGGGATCGTTTGTACATAAATATGAAATGTAAGTTATCAGAGTGACTCTGACTATCTGTGTATTGTTATATATTTTCTTTGTAAGTAAGAGAAAAAGCCAGAAATTCTGATAATTACCGTTGTCGTTCTGCGTGATTTTGCGTCTGTTATGACGTCACGCTGCACGGAAACTTTGACAATTTCTTATGAAGTATCAAATCATTGCATTGTATCTATTTTCAATTTCCTCTTTCTTGCTATGATACTCTTTCCAATACATATTCTAAGGGTATTGAGCCATTGCAAGCAATGAATAGCCGGCTGCTACGCAGTATAAATCGAAATTTTTCTTTGTTTACATTTCAAACTACAGTAGCGCAGTCTTCAGAGCACAGCGTTTGTTTTTACACCCAATATCCAGTTGAGATTTTAGTGGATGGTATCAAGAAACAGGGAATTTCCCGCTGAATACGGGAAGTATATTTTTGTGCGTGACATATTTAGAACTTTATTGGACTTCAAAGTGAGGGTTGAAGAGGAAGGACATATGTCCCTGTGGCACCCAGGGGGTTTTAATCAAGTCCAGATACACGACCAGAGCACTAGCGGTGTCGCGGAGTATTCTTGACACACTAGCTCGGGATACTCCATGGATATCCCCGATTTCACTGAGGAAAACCCCTTTTGCCAAATACCTCTGTGTACACAACACTTGCAGGGAGGTTGGAATAGCATGTGAACGCCTTGTAGGTTTGTTCAGTCGGGGCTCTAACTTTCTGCACAGTTAGAAAACAACATGAGTGTCGAGCACGTTCGACCTGTCTCAAAATTTCTCAGGTCTTCTTTGTTAGCGCGTTTTAATCACTTGCAGTGCCATAATCGTTGACGCCAACTTTGTAGTGTTTACGACCTCCTAAAGCATTTACGACAGGTCAATCGGGGTCCTAAATTTTGGGCTGTTTACGGCACAGTGTAAATATACGAGGTCTTTGTGAAACAGGGTAAAAAAGTAAGAGGTGGTCTACGACCTGCTTTACGAGGTCGTACCGGTAAGAGGGCTTTGTGTTGCCCAATCGCAGCCCACTCTGCCTGTAGTGCCTGTGCGAGTTGCTGAAGTGTCTGGGGCTGAGGGTGACGGCGCCGCACCCGTCTGTCCAGGGCATCCCACAGATGTTCGATCGGGTTTAAGTCCGGTGATCTTGAGGGCCAGGGGAGCACATTGATGTTGTGGTTCTGGAGGAAGTCTCTAGTGTGCTGTGTGGGGCCTGGCATTGTCCTGTTGAAACAACTCCCTCTGGCGATCAATGATTGGAAGGAGGTGTGGGCGGAGGATTTCGTCACAGTACCGTTGAGCTGTCAAGTTGCCCTGGATCATCACCAAATCACTTCTCCTACGGCAGGTAATCGCTCCCTACATCATAACACTTCCCCGGCCGAATCTGTCCACCTGCGGAACGCAAGCGCCAGCGAAACGTTCACGTCGACGTCTGTACACCCGCATTCTTCCATCGCGTCGTTCCAATAGAAATCATGATTCATCACTGAACCAGATTCTACGCCAATTCGGTGTTTTCAAGGCCTGAACGTTCGTGCACCATTGAACTCGATGTCGACGATGTTGTTGTCGAAGCACAGGGCCAAAATAAGGTCTTCTTGCACGTAAACCAGCCTCTCTCAACCTGTTCCTGACGGTCTGTGCAGAAAGCCTCCTCAATCCGGGTATTTGTCGAGCGGTACTGGTCGCCGTAGCAGGTGATGTACCCAGATGTAGCGATCCTGCGCCGCGGGCATCTGCTACCGCATTCTGCCGGCGATATCTCTCCCAGAGCCGTGAAATGGTGCTTTGGTGAACATTCACGCGTTGGGCAACTACACGTTGAGACTGGTCAGCTTCAAGCCAACCAATGGCGGTTGGATTCACTTAGACGTGGTATTTTGCGTTCGTCAACAATATTCCAAATACAGTGAATAATCGACAGACGGCGATCAACCTTTTATACCCATCATTGAGACTATCTGATCCCCAACTTTCACGTGCATTGCATGTGAATTGTGTATTCTGTGACACTACACGCCGAAATTGAAAATCATGCTGTTAAATACGGGTATTTTACGGATGGTGCGTTTTGTTGTTATGTTTCAAAACATAAACACCATAGGACTCATAAACAGAGCAAAACCTTTTTGTAAAATGAATCACGTTTTAATTCATTGCTACATGAAATTGCTATTTTCATTATGCGTTTTTGGGGAGAGTATATATTTTTGCATTTCCAGAGCATTTCCAATTTGTGCATGGTGTGTGCATAAACACCAACGCTGTTCCAAGCATATTTCGTGTTGTGTAATCTTCGGTAAAACCCAACCGCGATTTAAAAGACACAACTCAAGATTTCTACTAAACATGTGGGATCGAATACATACCATACTCGATGTCGGCCGGATCTCCACATTTTACCATTTTACATGGAATACCTCCTGGTGCCACGTACCGCTCCCCGGGCTGGTACACCACTCCGTTGATGTTGCATGGCGCTTCTAAACAAACAAGTCCATGATTAACATGAGAACCACCGCTACCTTGATTATCCAGATCAGCATCATTATTATTATTCATTATCATCATCTTCATCATCTTACCAGGCCTCTTTGCTGCATATATCTATTTTAATGTGTGAAAAATAACAATTCTCGATCTTTGCGCCATAATTATGTATTTGCACAATTGACATTATTTACACAGGAAAATATTTCTCGAGTCTGAACTGAATGTCTCTTGGAAATAGTAGTTCAACACGTATTTACCAAAGCCGTCCTCAACACACTTCGTCACTTCGCCGCTTGTACCATTAATACACTTTGATAATTCTAATGCAGAAATTAGTAAAGAACAGTTATTAAAGTCCGGGGATTTATCATACTAGAATGGAGTACCATGATGTACATCATTTACAGTTTTAGATAAAATTGTCTTTACTCTAAAACTTTATGATTGCTTCATCATTTTATTTGCCGATGTTATAATTTTGTGCTTTTTTATTGCTCTCAAAACCAGTTTTCTAAATATCTTTTAAAGTAAATGGACAAGAAAGAAACTGAATGTTTTCAATTTTGAGGAACCTTTTCAGTACGAACGCACTAGTGTCTTCTAGTGTGACCATAGACATGTACGTCCTGGAACTTCTGGGATATCAAGTTATGGGATTCCGAATGAAAGATTCACAGTATGAAAATTAAATGATAAAGCACAAACATAACGCTAAGCATACACATTTTACGAATGTATATACTGTGAGTTAAAAAAGTATATATACACTTAAAAATTTAATAACTACAGACGTCACGGAAAGGCCGAAAACAGCACTGCAAACGTAACGTCCACAACACTATGACGTCGGTATAGAATAGACCACAACAGAATAGCCATTTCTTCATTTTTGTGTGTTTCGCCATCATCAAACATGGGTGTATTTTGCCAGGCAGTTTAGTTACAAAGTCGTGAACGTCGACGTAAAATACTTACGCTGGCCGCTCACCACGATGAGGTTTACCAGGAGAGGCACGAGGAAGAGCATCGTCAGTCTACAAAATACACCAACTAAATTAAAGCATTGTCTTGCTATTAGGATTTCTGTGATGATTTTAGGATTTCATTCAAAGTCTCATCAAAACTCAAAATACTAAATTGTACACATATGGAGGACTTTTCGTAATTTGGCGAATCAGTTAGAAACTGTATGTTTGTTTATTTTGTTGTTGATTTTTGTTGTTGTTGTTGTTGTTAATTTTTGTTATTGTTGTTGGTCTATGTATTTCCTATTTTATGCCTTTGTGTGTGTTTGTGACCAATGAGGCAAGATGCACTCAACTCAAACGCCTGGAAACATCACTTTTGGAAGCTAGCAATACAAACGCTTTGAAATAGTCAGAATCCTACTGTGAAAAATGATCGGCATCGTTCTCATTGAAAACTCGTTACATCGTTAACCCTATCGAGTATAAACTCTGTACTGGACATTATCATATATTGACTTTATGGCCTTGATCAATTTTCTGTCAATGTACAGAAACTGTATTCAGTTATAAGAAGCCAAATTGTTTATCCTTGAAAGGGGAATTATAGAGACCGTAAAATGTGGTATGTGTAACTGTATTTTGCCATGTGTGCGGTATTGTCCCTATGTATAAATGTGTGTGTGTGTGTGTGTGTGTGTGTGTGTGTGTGTGTGTGTGTTAGCATTCCCCATAACCTAAATACCACACGAATTACCCATTCTCTAAAATATGTAAAATAATGAACCATATGATCAAATTCACTCGACTATACTAAGCGCATTGTTAATCAACATTAACCCCATGAATGACTTTTTAAACAAGAGAAACTGCCATTAATGTTTAATTCATAGCTTATTTTTACGCACAAGTATTTAAATACGTATCTACCTACCTTTCCATGGATACGACGTGCAACCCGCATTGGGTCTACTATCCAGATAAGTTCAGAAAAGAACTTATGTGCAGTCTTCAAAATGCGTCACGTGCCTGTTTACAACCAATCAGAATAAGGGCGACATCTGTCGCCAGTAGATGCATAGCTTCCAACTCAGCGTAAAGATCAATGTGCTACAATACCGGCCAGAATATAGTTGACTATATGTTACAGTAATAATGGATTTCTTCCAAGAAATGTTGTTCAATGTTGTGGACAATCAGGTGGCTAAATTGTTGTGCTAACCGATCAAAGGCCAAATTTGGGTCAATATATATTTGTAATCAATAGTGAAGTCAAACAGGCCTGCCCTTCTCTAGTGAACATATTAAGTTGTTGCAACAAAATAATTAAATGTGACAGAGATTTTATAATGGGCAAAAAATACAGAAAACATTCGGTGTCAGGACAACGTATAGGTAAAAACGTTACTCAGTCGCGGTAACTCCATTTACGAGGGAAATGACCATGTCAATAACATTAAAGGGACATATTCATCCGAGTCAAATTTGTAGATCGATATTTGGTTCAAGAAGAATGTATCCCCATAACCGTAAATTGTGCCCCTTTCATTGCTGTTGTTTCTTTATCCATGTTTTCGATTTCACATAGTCTGGGAATTAAGCAAAACCATTTACCTTAAGCTTCCAAACTATCGATGATCTGATATTGTTCAATAATCATCAACTACCGTCATCTAATTTACCCATCTGGGAAAAGAAAAGAGATTCAATGAAACGTTTGCGGCAAAATCGGTCACGCTCTTACCACAAAGTACAAACAAAAGACACGACTCTTTTAAAACGAAATTGATCAGGTTTATATTCATAGTCAAAGCAAGATCTTTCAAAAGGTTCTTTGGTAAACGTGTAGAGGATTTTGTGTAATTTGATGCGACTTTAACCCCCAAAATATGCCTGACAAAATTCCCTGTGATGACAGGCGTACAATTGACTTACCTTTGCATGTGTCTGTGACGTTGCCGCTGTGACGTAGGGCAAGAAAACCTGCTATCACCACGGTTTCATAGATATTCATAAATGAAAAAGACAAAAACCCACTTCCACTTCCATAAGAAATCTCTACTTAAAGCACACGCTTGTGTTATGATCGTACAATGCACTCTGTTTCAAGCAGATATTTCTTATGACAATGAAAGGGTTTTGTCGCTCACATTTACATGAAGAGATAGTTCCGCAAAGTGTTTTTTTTCTGCTGTCATTAATCTGGTTATGTTAACTAGAAGTACAGTACACCACGTTCATAAAGAACGATCCCGTGAAGGTCCAGGTTAGAATTGATCTTCAGTAACTCATGCTTGTCGTAAGAGGCGACTGTCGGGATCGGATTGTCAGGCTCGCTGACTTGGTTGACACATGTAATCGTATCCCAATTGCGTAAAACGATGCTCATGCTGTTGATCACTGGATTGTCTGGTCCGGACTCGATTATTTACAGGTGGAATATTGCTGAGTGCGGCGTAAACCTAAAGTCACTCACTCATAACGAACGCCCTTATAACGAAATAACTGATCTTTTCACTAATTATTTAACTTATTTCGTGTAATTGTAAAAGTTCGATCACTTGGTAAGGAATATATTACAAGCGATTACATGGCATGTGCAACCGATGAGAAATAGTTTCGTTTAGGTGTCCATTTCTTTGACATATATTTATGTCACACGCAGAAACATTTGTCGTTCAAAATATAATTTACAGACAACAGTTTAATGTATTCAAGGATTGACTGTGTATGTTTTCGGTTCATTGAAGAATGGGTTGCACATACCTACATTCAACCATCCCTGTTTTTTGTGTTAATGATTAAATAAGCAGTTTGTGAAGTTGTCATATTTATTCATGAACACTGGCTTCAATATATGTTGTTTATGGAGGTACAATCGTAAATACCGGCGTTTTTACCTCCATAAACGCAACACATGCTGAAGTCAATTCTTAAATGATAAATATTACTATGTAAGCATATTTTTCCGGCTACCTGATTGGTCTAGAGGCGGTCACGTGACCGTCGACAGGAAAGCATATTGACTCCAACCCAGGTCCGACCAAAAGTCATATTGACTTGAGTTACTAAAAGTAGACCTTGACGTCAAGCTATGACGTCATTCTATTGTTTACATGTCACAGTATTGTTGACACAACGTTATTGGTTTGTAGCGAAAACAAAATTACTTTTCTTGACTAAATGGACATGTTTTGGTTTTTAGAAGTAATTACATAATAAAACAATTATGGACTGATGAATTCGGTCGATACCTTCGCCCTCGGTCAATATTGCTTTTCGCGGGTCCATAAAAACAGGTATTGACCTCATTACCTGTCTATAATTGTATAATATTAATAAATAATATTTATCCTTGCTTCGGGAACATGTTTATAATTAATGTAGGTTAAGAAAGATTTAGTTTACCTGTTTTTAAACGTGTACAAGGGAATTGTTTATCACACAAGCACATTGATTTGAACTGAGAAAACTGAGACAGAAAACTTTGCATCAATTCCCGGAATGAAATGCTCAACAGAATGCTTTACGTAAAATATATATACTTTACACTTTATACGTTTTCACAATGCCGCACATTCGATTTCCAGTGTATTACACAGGTTCAGATTTGGAACACTGGCTAACTCTAGTGAGTCTTTTTGTCATGATTGAGAAGAACGCGTAACAAAAAGTTATGAAATTCATAAAATAACAGAATACAATTTGGCATTACTGTACAAGGGGGAGAACTTTTCTACAATAAGTTGGAGATAGGATGCACAGAGGGTTGATGTCGTATCTGCAAGGAATATAAGGTGGTGATTTGGTCCAGGGTACATATGATAACAGAATGGTGATGATACACACGGGATAATTAATGGTCGTTGTAAAACCTGCATTTGGCAAAATATAACCTGCGTGAAAGGTCGCCGAGAGATTACAAACGCAATGGTTTAAAATAGAACTGTGATATCCGTGAACCAACGAAAGTATACACCCATAAGTAATTAAATGCATGAGAGAAATGGTTATTCATCGATACTGTATTTTGGTTCACTTCTATTATGGCTACTCCCAGTGTGACAACCCGTCCAATACACAACCTGTTCCAGTCAAATGTTTTTTAATTACTACCTCTCTCCCCTCCATCAGGTAGACTTTTCCACCATAATACTATATACTCCGCGTTATTAATGAGGGGCAAGCTATTGGTAACTCTATTTCTTAAAAGTTAATCTTCGTTTTTGTTTGATACATATACAACTGAATATTGTAACTTCCTTAACAGTATGGAAAAACACACCAGGCCGTTGAAATTGTCATTATTACGTTCTTTATCGTCAGATACAGTCTGTTACAAATGGCACTTTTTTTATTCAAATTGTCAATATAGAAATTTCCTGCCCTTAATGTCAATGATTTGCACGTGCAAGTCGACCAATAACCTGAAACAACCTTGAAACAATGCGAACGAACATCAAGACATTTTTATTGCTGATACTACAATTCAAAGATATTACCCAAACAGAACATTCTGCCTGGTTTCTGCCTTAAGGCACCGCATCACTGCATTTGTAGTGTGGGTTGATGCCTGCCAGCTGACACGTGCAGTTGTGCATGAGATGATTATTCATGCTGACGCTGAAGACGTCGTTTGCCCCATGACATTTGCCGTTAGCGTCCTCGCACACTGGAAATATAACGTGACTTAGTGAGTGAGTAGCCACTTTGAACAGTAATCAGTAGTGAGTGAGTATGTTTTTTACGCCGCTTTTAGCTGGAATATCACGGCGGGGGACACCAGAAATGCGCTTCACACATTGTGCCCATATAGGGAATCGAACTCGGGTCTTCGGCGTGACGAGCGAACGCCGTAACCACTAGACTACCCCCACCGTCCCAGTTATCAGTAACGAAACAGCGTGTCAGATGTGTTTTTGTTTGTTTGTTTGTTTATTTATTTTTTAACGCCGCACTCCCACCATGACGGCAGTCTGTAAATAATCGAGTCTGGACCAGACGCCAGTGATTGATATCATGAGCATCGACCTACGCAATTGGGGTACTACGACATGCATCAATCAAGTCCACCCGATCCCGTTAGTCGCCTCTTACAACAAGCATGGGTTGCTGAAGACAGTTCTTGGAGGAACGTACGAAGTGAAGCCGAACTATGATGTTCATGACCTCCGTGAAATTGTTTTTACCCATATGTACCTCTCGAGTCGATAAAGTGAGGGGAAGTATGGTTTTCGCTACCTTTAGCAACATTCCAGCAACATGACGGAAAAGGTTTCACCCATTGTACCAGTGATGAGAATCGAACACGGATCGATAGCTTAATAAGCGAATGCTGTAACCATTCTTCTACTCCACCGCTCTGCATTGCACATAACTAACACAGAATATTCTACACCGAATACAGGTCAAGGTTTTTAGGGATGAGTGAATATTATTTTACACCGCAGTTATTCCAGCTATATAACTGCAACCACGAACGAGTGTACCATCAACTTTAAAACCAAGGCATCACCCTATCCGCGTTATCAAATGCTGTGAGTAGACAAAGTTTTCCGTATAATCGATACTAGGTTTGAGAATGTTCGGTCTCGATGTGACAACACTGAACTAAGAATGACTCACATGCAGTGGTTGGTTCCAATGAGAAGAGTTTCACCCCAAGGAGTACTTGCTGTTTGCATTTGTGCGTGCGGCATTTGTCGACATATGTTTCTCCTGGTTTGACGCACTCGCGGCTAGGTGTAATGCAAGCTTGAACAGAAATACCAAGTCACACATAAAAACCTTCATGTTAAGGTGCATTTGGAACACATAACCTTCATGTTAAGGTGCATTTGGAACACATAAAACCTTCATGTTAAGGTGCATTTGAACACATAAAACCTTCATGCTAAGGTGCATGTGGAACACATAAAACCTTCATGTTAAGGTGTATTTGGAACACATAAGACTGTCATGTTAAGGTGTATTTGGAACACATAAAACCTTCATGTTAAGGTGCATTTGGAACACATGAAACCTTCATGTTAAGGTGTATTTGGAACACATAAAACCTTCATGTTAAGGTGCATTTGGAACACATAAAACCTTCATGTTAAGGTGCATTTGGAACACATAAAACCTTCATGTTAAGGTGTATTTGGAACACATAAAACCTTCATGTTAAGGTGCATTTGGAACACATAAAACCTTCATGTTAAGGTGTATTTGGAACACATAAAACCTTCATGTTAAGGTGCATTTGGAACACATAAGACTGTCATGTTAAGGTGCATTTGGAACACATGAAACCTTCATGTTAAGGTGCATTTGGAACACATAAAACCTTCATGTTAAGGTGCATTTGGAACACATAAAACCTTCATGTTAAGGTGTATTTGGAACACATAAAACCTTCATGTTACGGTGCATTTGGAACACATAAAACCTTCATGTTAAGGTGCATTTGGAACACATAAGACTGTCATGTTAAGGTGCATTTGGAACACATAAAACCTTCATGTTAAGGTGTATTTGGAACATATAAAACCTTCATGTTAAGGTGCATTTGGAACACATAAAACCTTCATGTTAAGGTGTATTTGGAACATATAAAACCTTCATGCTAAGGTGCATTTGGAACACATAACCTTTATGTTAAGGTGCATTTGGACCACATAAAACCTTCATGTTAAGGTGCATTTGGAACACATAACCTTCATGTTAAGGTGCATTTGGAACACATAAAACCTTCATGCTAAAGGTGCATTTGGAACACATAAAACCTTCATGTTAATGTATTTGGAACACATAAACCTTCATGTTAAAGGTGCATTTGGAACACATAAAACCTTCATGTTAAGGTGCATTTGGAACACATAAAACCTTCATGTTAAGGTGCATTTGGAACACATAAAACCTTCATGTAAAACTGTCATGTTGCATTTGGAACACATAAAACCTTCATGTTAAGGTGTATTTGGAACACATAAAGACTGTCATGTTACGGTGTATTTGGAACACATAAAACCTTCATGTTAAGGTGCATTTGGAACACATAAAACCTTCATGTTAAGGTGTGACCACATAAAACCTTCATTTAAGGTGGAACACATGAAAACCTTCATCTTAAGGTGTATTTGGAACACATAAGACTGTCATGTTAAGGTGTATTTGGAACACATAAAACCTTCATGTTAAGGTGCATTTGGAACACATAAAACCTTCATGTTAAGGTGTATTTGGAACACATAAAACCTTCATGTTAAGGTGTATTTGGAACACATAAAACCTTCATGTTAAGGTGCATTTGGAACACATAAGACTGTCATGTTAAGGTGCATTTGGAACACATAAAACCTTCATGCTAAGGTGCATTTGGAACACATAAAACCTTCATGTTAAGGTGCATTTGGAACACATAAGACTGTCATGTTAAGGTGTATTTGGGGCCTATACATCCTTCATGTTAAGGTGCATTTGCAACACATAAAACCTTCATGTTAAGGTGCATTTGGAACACATAAAACCTTCATGTTAAGGTGCATTTGGAACACATAAAACCTTCATGTTAAGGTGCATTTGGAACACATAAAACCTTCATGTTAAGGTGCATTTGGAACACATAAAACCTTCATGTTAAGGTGCATTTGGAACACATAAAACCTTCACATGTCAACGGTGTATTTGGAACACATAAAACCTTCATGTTAAGGTGCATTTGGAACACATAAAACCTTCATGTTAAGGTGTATTTGCAACAAATAAAACCTTCATGTTAAGGTGCATTTGGAACACATAAAACCTTCATGTTAAGGTGTATTTGGAACACATAAGACTGTCATGTTAAGGTGTATTTGGAACACATAAAACCTTCATGTTAAGGTGCATTTGGAACACATAAAACCTTCATGTTAAGGTGTATTTGGAACACATAAAACCTTCATGTTAAGGTGTATTTGGAACACATAAAACCTTCATGTTAAGGTGTATTTGGAACACATAAAACATGTTGTCATGTTAAAGGTGCATTTGGAACACATAAAACTTCTTCATAAAACCTAAGGTGCATTTGGAACACATAAACCTTCATGTTAAGGTGTATTTGGAACACATAAGACTGTCATGTTAAGGTGTATTTGGAACACATAAAACTTCATGTTTCATTTGAACACATAAAACCTTCAAGGTGCATTTGGAACACATAAAACCTTCATGTTAAGGTGTATTTGGAACACATAAAACCTTCATGTTAAGGTGCATTTGGAACACATAAAACCTCATGTTAAGGTGCATTTAAGGTGCATTTGGAACACATAAGACTTCATGTTAAGGTGCATTTGGAACACATAAAACCTTCATGTTAAGGTGCATTTGGAACACATAAGACCTTCATGTTAAGGTGTACACATAATGACACATAAAACCTTCATGTTAAGGTGCATTTGGAACACATAAGACTGTCATGTTAAGGTGCATTTGGACCACATAAAACCTTCATGTTAACATTTGGACCACATAAAACCTTCATGTTAAGGTGTATTTGGGGCCTATACATCCTTCATGTTAAGGTGCATTTGCAACACATAAAACCTTCATGTTAAGGTGCATTTGGAACACATAAGACTGTCATGTTAAGGTGTATTTAAAACCTTCATGTTAAGGTGCACATACCAAACCTTCATGTTAAGGTGCATTTGTGCAACACATAAAACCTTCATGTTAAGGTGCATTTGGAACACATAAAACCTTCATGCTTCATGTTAAGGTGCATTTGGAACACATAAGCATCATGGAAGTGCATTTGGCATAAAACTCATGTTAAGGTGCATTTGAACACATAAAACCTTCATGCTAATGCATTTGGAACACATAAGACTGTCATGTTAAGGTGTATTTGGGGCATATACATCCTTCATGTTAAGGTGCATTTGCAACACATAAAACATTCATGTTAAGGTGCATTTGGAAGTATTTGCATCTAATTGTTGGGGTTTTGTATAAACATTTATTTGATATATTGTTTCTATGTTTACGTTGATATCTGACATTCGCCAAGAGCCGAACAACATTATGCCGAGACTGATCATCCGATTGTCTCCAGTTTGTTAATGGTTTCACTTATCAGTTTGTAGACAACCTCTGTTTTTTTATTTCAACATTATGATACATACATAATTGCGATATCTCTAAATCAGCTGAACAAATATTTGAAGTATCATATTGAATTACCGAATTAATCTCCTTTTTAAGTACGTAGTGTGACGTTACGGCCAAATTTTGATTTAAACAAATAAAATTACTTGAATTTAATGTGATATCATCTGAGATTTTTTAAATATTGACTTTAATTTTAAAAAATATTTGTAATCGAGATCTCAATGAGCACCATGTGGTGTCCTACCATGGGCAGGCAAACAAGAACTCTTTGTCGAAGATCGACCAGGAGGCTGTGACAGCCCTTTAATTGTGGATTGTTGTGTATGATTAAATACCTGAACATACCAGCTGGGGACAATTACGCAACTCAATATCTGATGTCAATATTGAAGGCTGGAACTTATTCAAAACGTAATTTTTTACTAAAATATGTCAAAAATCAGTTCAAAGAGATCGCAAAGGATATTTGGACACTCTTTTAGGCAATTATAATTCCACTGTGTCATCGTGAGCTTCAGTTTGAGACACGAAGACCCGATCCCGTTAGGTGCATCTTACGACAATCATTGGTTATTGTATCATCTTTATTGGGTAAGAGAATGGAATGGAAAGGTGAGTGGAATGAAATGATGACTGTATAATTAAAATATTATTTAAAATATATAATGAATCTATGCTCTAGGGTCTTTATGTGAGACGGAAGTATAATTTCAGAGCCGAGGAATATCATAAACAGCGAATTGTGGATTCGAACTCACATCTTTGAATCCCCCCATACCTTATAGCGTCACCCGTACCCTTGTTTAATATTTATGTGCAATAGGCTTGGTTCAAACAAACCTTTGAACAATGGGTCACAGTGTGTCATCTTGCGGGACAAAAGCACGAAGTGGAGCAGATTTTAGGCCACGCTTATGACACCAGAGGACACGGTGCAGACAAACCCGGAAACATAATCAGAAAGAATCTAGGATTTGAATTTATGACACGCCAAAGGGAGATAACTCTACACCGAAGATTGGACCCTTACATTTTGAAAGATATATTGACAAAAACACAAATACAAACAGAAAAGGTCGACCGTCTGTGTTGACTTCTCCTTGAGGGTATATTACGACACTTGGACATTTTTCATCTAATAACTCTTATACGTATCGACCTTTGCGTAGTTAAAGTAGATATAGAGACTTTCATATTACAACTCTTACACGTATCGACCTTGGCGAATCTGAAGTAGATATTAAGACATCACCTGGCGCAAAAAGGTCATAGTGACCTTGCTGATACTCCTCCATCAATACCAGGTAAGATGTCGACAGAAAAACATGCTTACACGTGCTTTATTGTTGAAGATTTGCCAAACAGTTGATACTGATTTAATATGATTTTTTAAAAGCTTACTGCACCTGGTGTAACTGCTTGTTCTACCCTACCGAACCCCTCTACTGGCGTCCGCACACCACTTGGTGTTCTGGCATCCAACTTGAATCATGTCAGTGTACATAACTCGTACTTGTTAATTAGACATGGATTTTCACGTAAAGGTCATGAGCATGAGGGCACATAGACGAGAAAACAAAGGTAACTTTAAAGGAGTAACATTTCATAGCGTCCAGTTTATTGTATGCTTTTCACACTTTGCTAAGGATCAAATCATTGATTCAACAGAATGATTTCGGGTCTAATTTGGTTTAAATATCTAAGCTTATTGTAAGTATGGATCCTAGGTTTCAATATGTCATTTCATCTTGTGGATCCCATACCTGAAAGTGACAGGTGTTGTGTACTTGTAAATGACTCGTTCCATGATTTGCAAAATGGTTGATTGGTGCCATGAAAACCATTTTTATGGTTACTCATGTATCAAGTGCATACGGTTAGATTAATGTGGTTGTTTGCCTAAAAAAGGGTTAATATATTCTTATTTATACAGTTTTAAATGTATACAGTTTCAAATTATAAATCCATGTTTAAGTAAAAAGTGGGAATTTTTTGTGATCCTTAGCAAAGTGTGAGTAGTATATGTATCCGGCATGGTGTAGTAGTGGTGGTGGTGGTGGTATACGAAGTAGTAGTTGTGGTAGTAAAAGTAGTGGTGGTGATGGTGGAGGTAGTAGTTGTGGTGGTAGTAGTGATAGCAGTGGTAGTAGTAGTGGCGCTTGTTGTGGCGGCGGTTGTGGTAGTAGTTGTAGTAGTTGTAATAGTAGTAGTAGTAGTAGTAGTAGTAGTAGTAGTAGTAGTAGCAGCAGCAGCAGCAGCGGTGGTGGTGGTTGTGGCGGCAGCAGTAATAGTACTAGTAGTAGTAATAGTAGTAGTATCAGAAGCAGCAGCAGTAGTAGTAGTCGTCGTATACACAGTTGTAATAATGAGTTAATAACTCACAACCAAGTGATCACATACCGAAACCCATTCAACAAGAATAATTGTTTACACAAACAGTAAATTCCTTATCCCGGAAGGAACGATGGGATGTTTCAGGAAGTATATTTTCAAATGGTCTTCGTTGATGGACATCATCAACACACCAGTGCACGACTCCGTTAACCGTCGTATCAATTGCAACAGCTTGGTATTTGAGAGACTGGTCCTGCATCTTACCTTGACTTATTTCAAACATGCCCACACTGCCATTCCTCTCCTCACAACGCCTCGTTACACAATTGTAGGTTTCCGTGAAGTTAGCGGGGAGGCAACTGACGCCATTGCTACAGCCTGTAACAGACACAGGGGTACAGTTAGCTAACGCTTAGTCTGCAGAAATAGAGGAACACATTTAAATCAAACAGGTGCCCCAGTGAGATAGGAGATTCGACGTGAACCCGAGGACAATCTAGACTTGCTTCTTTTAAGGCTTTTGTATCATTGGCAGAGCTGGCGAAGTGATATTGTGAAGGAGAGGTGAGATGGGGTTTAACGTCGTATTTGAGATTATTTTGCTCGTACGGCGACGCGCATGCGTGTCTATGTGTTGCTGCTTGTACTAGTCCAGACATCAGCTGGTTTTAAAGTGTTATCTCACTGAGATATCATGTCGCAGTTCAGCGTCTATACCCCACTCAGGCACATTATACTGCTCGGAGCGGACAAGTCCTTTTTTTATTATATTTAATATAATAAGAGGTAACTGTAGGTAATTTGCCGTATATATGTCCTGAAGTAAATTAAAGTATAAATGGATTCCCTGGTCCAGAATCGGTTATTCAAAGAATTTTGTTGTATAACTGGAATATCATTGATTGCGGCCTAATACATTATTCACTTATTCACTTTAATACTGATAACATCACAATTATTATGTGTGAATGTTATACGCAGTCTTTGACAGACAAGAAAACAAAACAACCATACAAGAAGGGCAATATTATTTACAGACCGCCGTCATCAAGAAGGAATATTGCTGTTATTTAAGTTTGACCATACCCCATTCCTTCAGCAGCACCCTGTAAGATCGATGTCGCCCATGCATCTGTAGGTCACAGGTGTAGTTGAAGCAGCCCTGACGGAAGGTCTCATTCACCCCGAGACACGTACCGGCGATCTCACAACCTGAAGAGATAATTAATGCAGAAATATCACATCACGGGTCCATTAACTTAACACTCTTAATGCAAATGTTTAGGTACTCTTTGAACTGCAAGGGGCGTGGGGTAGCCTAGTGGTTGAAGCGTACGCTCGTCACGCCGAAGACAGGGTTCGATTTCTCGACATGGGCCCATTTATGGTGTCCCCCCGCCGTGATATTGCTGGAATATTGCTCAATGCGGCGTAAAACTAAACTCACTCACTCACTTTAAACTTCAAGGTACTGCTTTCTCTGAATTTGTCGTGGTTGATAGGTGTTGCTGTTTATTTGTTTATGTTACTCTGGAATATGACTGGCTACGCATTAAACAAACAAACAGAAGGTCCATATGACCCCTATGAGCACGTCATCACCCATCGTGTGTCAAAAATTTGTTAGAAAATTTGTACAACAGTGTTGTGTCGAAGCTGAAGGGACATGCATAAATGCTTCGAGGTTTCCGATGTTCGACACAACCACAAATTGATAACTAAATACGGATACAAAGGTGTCAAGCCTTTTCTTCGAGACAACGTAAGTTCGACAAATGAAAATTCGGTACAATTGTGTTTGACTGATTTTTATGTCATGCCATGTAATGACCTGACGTGAAATAGACTGTATTTTAATCGATTTGATTTGAATTAAGAAGATCCTTACAAAGAATAAAAAGTTCTAGTTGCAAATTACTAAATTAGTTAATAATTATATTATTGAATGAAATAATTATTGTTTAATGAGTATAACATGCAGTACACATGTATGTAACACTAGAGTTATTCAGAGCCAGTACGTACTTCCGTTTACCAGACTGATTCCGATAGCGCCATTGTTGATTTGGCATTGGTAAGCGAAACACCCGCTGGTCCAAGTCTGGTTAATGTTCATGCACACACCGTTATGGTTGCATCCTGAAATACAAACGTTCAGGTTGATGAAGCATAAGAAGACGCGGTGCCTGAATGTTGTTGCTTCCGATAGAATTGATCTCTACCTATCCTGATGTTGATGACTCAATGTATCTGCATGTCAGACTTTGATGACTGTGCGGAACGTCGTTTATAAAATCTCTGAAATGTCTGGTCCAAAATATTTAGAATATTTACACGTCGCCTCCATAATTAGCTTGGGAAAAGTGCTCATGATGTCAATCACCGAGCTGATTGGTCCGAACTCGTTCATGTTAAAATACAGACTGCAGTCATACTGCCCACTGAGGAGACGGTAAAGAAAGCAATTTGAAATAGTATTTCTGAACGTAGTGTTTAACTCACACAAAACAAACAAAACCTTTCACAATTACATGATGACATGATAAAAAATAGTATTTAAAATTATGAAAAAATATCATCACTGTATTCACATTATCTCGGTATAATTTCATTTTATATAATAACGTATTACTATAACAGAGTATTGCCTCTCGTTCTGCACAAATGTCGAGAAAAACCCATATAGGTTTTCTGTGATATGTCACCTTTAAACATAGAATGGGCGGAGAAAGAAAGGTGTATCATGTGTACACGGGGGCAATGCAAAACAGCAATGTGTTGTAAACTGCATTTACAACGTTGATATTCACGTACCATTTTGTCATCATCATGTCATGACACCTATCACACTGGTGTGTACGAAAATTTGACTTACCAGCCTTGACCTGCTGAACGATGCCACCATAACACTTATAGATGACACATGGGCCTGCCACAGAGGTTGTGAAATTTTCGCCTTCCTTGTAAATCTTGCCACCGACTTGACAAGTCCATCCTGTGACCGTATTTATTGAAAATAAAATAGATATATCAACTGGAACAGTTTGCAGTAAGTGCAAGCAATCAGTTTTAAGACTTCATCAGTCCAGTGTGTAAGGTTCAAACACGTATTGTATATTCAGTCTATAAACGTAATATATACGTGTTAGTTTCATTTTAATGCTAGATATCACAGCGAAACATTTAAGTGTAGAGTTTAAATGTGTATGAGTGAGTGAATGAGTTTAGTTTTACGCCGCGCTCAGCAATATTCCAGCTATATGGCGGCGGTCTGTTAAAAACGAGTCTGAACCAGACAATCCAGTGATCAACAGCATGAGCATCGATCTGCGCCATTGGGGAACCGATGAATGTGTCAACCAAGTCAGCAAACTTGACCCCCGATCCCGTTAGTCGCCTCTTACGACAAGCATGGGCCACTGAAGATCAAGATTCTAACCCGAACCATCACGGGTTAAATGTGTATGTCTTGTGAAACCACAAGACTGGACCGCTTGTTAAAGACAGGTCATCACACCACAGAGTTACGTGGTGTTAGACTGAGATTTCTTGAATTATCTAATATGTATCATATCTACACTTAGGCCATTGATATACATCATAGCAACCTCACAACACCGAGTTAAGTCATACACACACAACCACACCCCACACCCCTCGCACCACTGATTTAAGTCATATCGACCTCACAGCTTTGATTTAAGTCATATGGACCTCACACCACTGATTTAAGTCACATGGACCTAAAACCACTGATTTAAGTCATATCAACCTCATACCACTGATTTAAGTCATATCGACCTCACACCACTGATTTAAGTTATATCGACCACACACCACTGATTTAAGTCATATCTACATTTGTACATTTATACCACTGATATAAGTCATATCGACCTCACACCACTGATTTAAGTCATATCAACCTCACACAAATGCTTTAAGTCATATCCACACTTAAACCACTGATTTAAGTCATATCGACCTCACACCACTGATTTAAGCCATATCGACCTCACACCTCTGATTTATGTCATATCTACCTCACACCGCTGATTTCAGTCATATCTACCTCACACCACTGATTTAAGTCATATCTACACTAAGACCACTGATTTAAGTCATTTTAACTTCACACCTCTGATTTAAGTCATATCTACCTCACATCTCTGATTTACGTCATATCTACACTTAGACCACTGGTTTAAGTCATATCGACCTCACACTACTAATTTAAGTCATATCTACACTTACACCACCGATTTAAGTCATGTTGTTGTTTAACGCCGTACTCATCAGTATTCAAGCCATATGACGGCAATTTATAAATAATCCAGTGATCGATATCATGAGCATCGATCTTAGCAATTGGGATCAATCAAGTCAGTGAGCCTGACCCCTCTTACGGCTTTGCATAGGTTGCTTAAGACCAATTCTAACTTAGATCTTCACCAATACGTTTGCGAGTGGAGGCTCCTTAATGTATATGCAGAGGAGAGTGTAATGGAGCTGTTCATTTTCACCACTTACAAATTCCAAAACGTCCAATGCCTTTACCACTTCCTGTTTCAATCACACATCGAGAACACACAACGGAATACTTTTCCAAAATAACTCAAACATCTCAGTTCTGAAAAAATGTTTGAAATCGCCAATAAAACTAGAACTGGAGTAAAGGGACGCTCTTCCAATTGTTTTACCATGTTGCTTAAAGCTTTGTGAAACCCAGGGACCATCAATTTCGTAATCAAGGAGATTTCAGCCAACACCCGGCAGATCCTGACACGGATAAGGGACGCAATCACCTTTGTCATAAATCCCAATGATATTCAATTATATTCACCAGAGTCTTCGATGGAGCAAACGGCATAGTGTAGGCCAAACAGACACAATGTGACGGCGAGCAAAACCAAACTGGAAAGGTAATTGGATGAAGAACAGCAGTGTTATCAGAAAGTTTGTGATATAGTTACAGTATTTGTTTGTGTTTGTGATATTTAAAAGAAACATCTTTGAGTCACTAATTTATGCTAATGTAGATACAAGGATTCATCAAAGTAATAGTAAACCCCGTTTCATATTTCTCCAATTTCTTTCTTATTTTGCTCATATTAAATCGAAAGATTGCATAAAACTATTTCCCTTATTATCTTACTTCAGAATTTTCATTGAAGATAAGGTATATATAGCACAACTCCAATTAACCTCAACTTGATATTTGTTGACAGTCTTCAGGACTTCGAATCAACGACTTTTCTTGTCCAGTTATACTCTGTTAATCCGAACGAAACAGCTCAGATTCAATCGTCCTTAATGAAACAGTTACCCTATTTCGCATCATGGGTAAAGTATATCTAAATCATGGGTAAAGTATGTCTAAATCATGGGTAAAGTATATCTAAATCATGGGTAAAGTATATCTAAATCATGGGTAAAGTATATCTAAATCATGGGTAAAGTATATCTAAATCATGGGTAAAATATATCTAAATCATGGGTAAAGTATATCTAAATCATGGGTAAAGTATATCTAAATCATGGGTAAAGTATATCTAAATCATGGGTAAAGTATATCTAAATCATGGGTAAAGTATATCTAAATCATGGGTAAAATATATCTAAATCATGGGTAAAGTATGTCTAAATCATGGGTAAAGTATATCTAAATCATGGGTAAAGTATATCTAAATCATGGGTAAAGTATATCTAAATCATGGGTAAAGTATATCTAAATCATGGGTAAAGTATATCTAAATCATGGGTAAAGTATATCTAAATCATGGGTAAAGTATATCTAAATCATGGGTAAAGTATATCTAAATCATGGGTAAAGTATATCTAAATCATGGGTAAAGTATATCTAAATCATGGGTAAAGTATATCTAAATCATGGGTAAAGTATATCTAAATCATGGGTAAAGTATGTCTAAATCATGGGTAAAGTATATCTAAATCATGGGTAAAGTATATCTAAATCATGGGTAAAGTATGTCTAATGAGTGAGTAAGTGAGTAAGGTTTTACGCCGCTTTTAGCAATATTCCAGCAATATCACGCCGGGGGACACCAGAAATTTAATCACGAGGCTACCCCACCGCCTCGTTTATCTTGTGTATATGTGACATTACCTATTCATATCGTCCATCGTCCATGTTTTCTGTAGACGTCAACTCACATACAAACAAAATATGTCACGAATCTGTGTAAGGTTTCGCAAACAGAACATTATTTATGAGATACAAATGCCTCATGACCCTTAGATAAAGCAAGTAACAAATTGACCATCGCGAACTGTTTCAGGATAAATTACATACACTAACAATGAAGTCACTAACTGACACTTACAGCGATAATAGTGTGTGACATACGCTATGTATTGGGTTACCATATCGTTCAATTCGAAACTTATCAAGTGGCGTTGTTTTAAAATAATTTGTTATTGATCGACGAGTCTATGCACCAGTTACATCACGTGTGTTGTAGACTGGGACTGTCTGAGCCTGTCTCATCAATTTCCGATGAAACTGAGTGAATAATCAAAAACTATACATTGACAAAAACTCAGTGTACAAACAACAGCCATACCTTCGATAAGAGCAGTCCATGGTGGCGAGACCAGCTGGAACTATAGGAGTGTGAAGGTGACAAGTTGAGCCAGGTACGCCAGCACCGCGTCACCTGTCCGTTATCTTATCTCATTGGTCAAACTTTAACGGTTGTATTGGCTGACTGACTGAGTATTGTTTTACACCGCTTTTAGCAATATTCCAGCAATATCACGACGGGGGATACCAGAAATGTGCTTCACACATTATACCCATGTAAGAAATTGAACCCGGGTCTTCGGCGTGACGAGCGAACGCTTTAACCACTAGGCTACCCCACCGCCCTCAGTTGTATTGGATTCTTAGTGCGAAATGTTAAAATGTATATTTATCGACCGCTTCAGTGTTTCTTGAACTGAGTGAGTGAGTGTTTATTAACGAACATTGTTGCTGTCTTCAGGAACACATGTTTGTTGTTACTCGGTGAGGTGAGGTGAAATTGGGTTTAACGTCGTGCTTGAGAATATTTCACTCATATGACGACGTGCATGCGTGTGTATGTGTATGTGCGGCTGCTTGTACTAGTCCAGACTTAAGCTGGTTTTATAGTGCTAGCACACTGAGATACCATGCCGCAGTGAAGCATGAATACCCCACTCAGACACATTATACTGACTCCGAGCCGACCAGTCCTTGTTGTACCCATTAATGCCGAGCGCCAGGCAGAGACCAACAAGTACCATATTTTAAGGTATTTTGGTTTGACGCGTTTGGGGATCGAACCCACGACCTTCCGCTCTCCGGGCGGACGCTCTAACCACTAACCACTAACCACTAACCACGGAGGCGGTCGTACCTGATCGGAGAAGCACAGCGGTACAGGCTCGCTGACTTGACTGATTCATGTCATCGTATACCAATTGCCTGGGGACTGTGTAAATCGACCCGTATAGATCATGGTTAAAATTGGTCCTGTCGTGTGAGGTGACTAACGCAGTCGGGTGGTCAGGCTCGCTTGCTTGGTTGACACATGCGTATATCGATGCTCATGCTGTTGATCACTGGATTGTCTGGTCCAGGCGCAGTTACTTACAGACCGCCGCCATATAGCTGGAATATTGCTGAATGAGGCGTTAAACAACACATACGATTACATGTATCAACCAAGTCAGCGAGACTGACCAACCGATTCAGTTAGTCGCCTCTTACGACGCGCATGTTACTAAACCCGGATCTTCACGGGTCCAAACATGCAATTGAGTTCTAACACTGTTCGGCTAGTTTTTAGTTTCCAAACGCCAATTGTCCTTAAAGCATTATTTGCATTCATAAATAGTCTAAAGCGCACCCCAACTCCTTACCCACAAGATTTGCTCTCCACCCTCCCCCACATACTTCCCAAACTAGAATCCCTCTTCCCCTTTTCAGGTCCACACTGGTATTTAAATATGCTGACTTAGAAATATCAATATCCTGGTAATGTGCTCTCCATATCAAGAGTTTGATAGATTCAAAATATCAATTTTTAAGTCATAAACGATATTAATTACACAAAATGTCAGTGTCGTAATTGATGCGTGCTACACACGTGCTCCACATATCGATATCGACTCAGTTATTACTTATCTGAAGTGTTTGTCCACAGATGATACATGTGCACGACCAAAGTGTTTTGTTTTTCTGTTTTACTAATGATCCGGACATTTTTGCAGGCAAACAATTGACTTGTTTTGCATGCGTTTGTGATATTGAAGCAGGATATGCTCACCTTTTTCACTAACACCTGGTATCATCACTATTTGAGAGTGATTTATAAACACATGCAAGAGTCGTTTTTTTGCCTGTATTTCTTGTCGCTGTGGAAAGAGTTGTTTGTGCTTATCTAGTTCCTGGTTTCGCCCACACAATATTTCACAAATGTGGAAACAAATTACAATTTTGAGGACCGTACCTTTTGATTTAAAGTTCCTTCTTTGAACTAATTTAAATAATGTAAGTATAAATGTATGTTATTTTTTCTCACGTTTCTATTTTTTTCATATTTTCTGTTTTCGGTTATCAATCTTTACAAGGTTTTTGTATTGTTATGAGAGTGTGGTTTTTGTAATTTGTAATACCACATTGATTAAGTGATGGTTATTATGGGTCACAATGTTTAAAGTTTTGAGTGTGGGTTGTGGCTCACATCTCGCATCATATATGTTCAATGGCAACAGTATTTTAGCGGTACGCCTTTTGAGATATTAGATATGCAGAATTACCTGCCCTTGGCAATCTTTTGTTTTGACTTCCGGCTTTCTTCATGTCGTGTGTTCGAGAAATTCTCTTAAAGTTCTGAGAGAATAAGGATGGAGCCAAGCTTTGCCAGAATGCTCAAAAACTGTGCAAGAGCTATATAAAGGCTGGTTGTTGAGTTGTGCGACGGAACTTTCACATGACTGGATTTATACACAACTGTATGCCATCGTCAAGTTGTTCAACATTTCAAGACTGCCCGTGCTTGTCTATTCAACTTCTGTCATTGTAAACAACCTTCATTCAGTATATCTGCTCTCACTGTAAATGTCAAGACTCTGGTGAGTTAATATTTTATATTTGTGACCCAGTATTATAGATGTGTGTCTCAATTGCATTGTACTAGAAAGTTGTATTGTCATTCATTGTAGCTTGCTCATTGATTGTTCTATATATTACTGAATATTTTAGACTTGTCTGTGTTCTATTTTGCTGGTTCAAAGGGGACTTTTGTCACGGCAAATTATTAACCGTAACAGTATGTATGTATGTATGTATGTATGTATGTATGTATGTGTGTGTGTGTGTGTGTGTGTGTGAGAGAGAGTGAGTGAGTGAGTGAGTGAGTGAGTGAGTGAGTGAGTGAGTGAGTGAGTGAGTGAGTGCGTGCGTGCGTGCGTGCGTGCGTGCGTGCGTGTGTGTAAGGTTATAGATGCCGATGTGTAACGTCCTTATGTATGAATTGACCACCTCAAAACGTTGTTTTGGAAGATAGAAACTGTAACAAAATGTCGTTGTAATTCAACAGAAATGTTGCACAAACTTAATGCTGCCAGCCATCTCTTAAATAGCTAACCCGTGAAGATCCGGGTTAGAATTGATCTTCAGCAACCCATGTTTGTCGTAGTAGGCGACTAACGGGATCGGGTGGCCAGGCTCGTTGACTTGGTTGACAAGGTTTCGTATATCTCGATGCTCTTGTTGTTGATCACTGGATTGTCTGATTCGATAACAACACACAAACAAACAAAACGTAAAAAATCTCTTTTACGTCTGTATGAAGATTTGATGACCTCAGCTACCCATCCCCACTGAAGGTCTGACGAAGTGAACCCTGATCGAACCGTGACCACCTTGTCTGAATTATGGATTCTGGAGTGTCAGTGGATTCATTTGCGAGAAGATACAAGATGTTCAGATATTGAGAATGATAAAATACCGTTGTTTTTGTTGTTGGTTGCTTGCTTTCTGTGCATTCTTTTGTTTTATTGTTTGTTTGTTTTGGAGATACAAAAACGGAGGTGTTTGTTTGAATGCTTCCCTGACAGATACCAGGAAATTTGAAACCTCGACGCTGACTGGCTGGGTTCGTCTGACGCAATGTTCTATGAAAGTGCCCTCAGATGACATCAAGGACTGCTACGTTAAGTGTGACCCAGCCGCAGCCTATCTTCTCCAGACTGGATCCCAGTCAAATGCTTCCCGAGCGCAAATGCAGATATATCAAGTGTTGGAACCAAGGTGAATCTTGAAATATTTCAGCTCACGATGATTTTTAAATTTCAAACCTACACTTAATATTGACATTGGTGTACAAGAGCATACTTTACAAGCATTATCTTAACGTCATTAGGCATTATCTTAACGTCATTAGGCATTATTTTTTTCCACAACACATCCGTGACTACTATCAAGTACAGCGATTCAGTACCGAATGACCATATCGCGTCTGTTCATTATAGCCACCATAAAAGCTGCATATTTTGGGGGGATTGCCCGGTAATTCAGTACTATTAGGTTTAGTACATTTTCCACTCGTTGCTCATTAAGTTTATACTTTGACATGTTTATGTTTGCTCACATCTTAGCGAAGAATCACATCGATTACATTTGACAGATGTAAACTGTACTCTATTTCATTTTATTATTTTATCTTTCCATCCAATATGTCGTCACAAATCACGGAGGAGCTGCATAAAATTAACAGCAAGTTAAAAAAACAGGTGTTGCGCTGACTATATGAGGTCATGGTGACCTTATCGTTTAGGAATGACAGCTGTAGTTGACGGTTGGTCCGTTGACTGCGCATGTGCAGTGTGGCCAAACGGTGCCACCAATGTCAAACTGGAAGGAATCTCCTGGGTTGTGGCAGGTTCCATGAACATCTTTGCACTCTAGACGTACAGAAAGGTGCAAGTCAAAATACACAGTTATCACATAATATCAAAATTACTTTAGATACATCGATAACAAAGTTACGTTAGTCCAACAAAAATCGTGTCCAGTCTCTTTTAAAAGCACTAGAGAATACTTTCCTTCTCAGCTCCAGCTGCCAATACTCATCCCTTCTCAACTTCGGAGAGCGAAAGGTCGCGGGTTCGATCCCCGACCACGTCATACCAAAAGACGTTAAAATATGGTACTTGTTGTTCCCTGCCTGGGCCTCGGCATTCATTGGTAAAACAAGGACTGGTCGGCTCGGAGTCTATAATGTGTCTGAGTGGGGTATTCATGCTCAATTGCGACATGGTATCTCAGTGAGCTAGCACTATAAAACCAGCTTAAGTCTGGGATAGTACAAGCAGAAACACATACACACGCATGCACGTCGTCATATGAGCGAAATATTCTCAAGCACGACGTTAAACCCAATTTCACCTCACCTCACCTCTACTTTTGCGACTTATACTCATCCCTTCTTTATTTTCTGTGGCTTATACGCATGGTCTAGAAGCCAGACCCCCAAAATGGTGAAAATGTGGTGCAGTTCTGGCGACCAAACGGGATGTGTTTTTTTCACAATCAGGAATGATTTAGCTTTGATTTAAAGCCGGTTGTCATTTACTACCGTGCGTGATACCGTGCAGGGGCCCTTTTGAGGTGCAATATGTCATGTCAGTTATGGCAGTATTTTAACCGATAACTGGATGGTTTAATTTAATAACTCTGGTTTGGATTGACCGATTTTCATCAAAATAGTAGGTTTGGAATGCTCAGATCATGATTTAAAATTGTGGACAATATTATTACATATATGTTCATCGCAAAAAAAATTGGTAAGGTCAAAAGTCAATTTTAATAGAAAGGGCATTTGATGAGAAAATATGAGTTGAACGTTACAAATTAAAGGTAATTGTTTCCAAAATTAGGTTTTTCTAATTCATCTATATCATTTGAAGATCATATATACCTTTGGTTGGCACTGTATGCAGGAAAAAAAATTTACCAAGAAAACACAATTTAGTACTTTGTATTTGGATCAGCAAAATATTATATAATGTCTGTTCAACAGTAACAACTCCATGCTTTACATAGTCAACGATACCAAATAAGTCGAGGATACTGTTGGACTATCATTAAAATCACACAACATAACAGAAAGCTCTTAATTGTATAATTTCATTATTCCAGATGTCTTTCTCAGCTCATCAAAGAATGATGAGTTAGTCATGTCATCATAACACAAGCAATACTTCCTTCATATCAGTTCGTGTCTATTGTTCCTAATAGTCAGAGTGTATTCCTAGTTGACATGTTAGTCAATGTCAACAATGTCAAGATCACGGGAACATGTTTCAAGTCCACATCCACATGCTTAAGTACACAACAGGTTCAACCTCTTCGACACCTTCCTGAGTTCCTGTACATTGACTTTTACATGCACAGTTATGAAGCTGAAGAAGGTCTACGGAAACTATTTAGTCTTAACTTATTTGCAACTTTATCAATTTTACAAATTTAAGGTAATTTTACCAACATTATGTTTTTACAATTCAGCTATATCATTTGAAGATCATACATATCTTTGGTTGGCACTGCATGCATGAAAAACAACAATTCAGCTGATGTCAGAAGGAGATATGTTTTGATAAGTGTCAATATTGTTTATATTTGTGTCACTTCACGCTCCAGCTGCACTGACATGCCGTGAAACCCTTAAAGCTGATGGATAATAGTATGACATCCTAATGGAAGGTTTACAATTGACATTATGGTGTGCCATTTTTTCTGTTTACAATGTGAAATATTACGACTTTTTACACCGGCAATCATTAATATATTGTTAAAGATATGACACACTGATCAGAAAGGCGTTATGGTATCTTACCACCAAATGTACACACCCTCATATACCTCTGAAATACACAGTATTTCCAATTCATTCCTTTTGATTGTAATAGATGCCGCTGTTACAGGTCATTGGCTCCCTCCCTCTGCAAGCAGTTTGCGTTCTGCTGTTTATTTTGTTGAAAGTTACATAGACAGATTCTTTAATACAAATGCATAAAATCGGTGATTTACAATGTGATTAGGTTGTCTGACAAAACTTGCACAGTTTGAGATCGATTGGGTCATTGGATGAAGAGATATTTACAAAAAACCGGGTCTACATGCATTTCATGCCAAACTATAGATCGGAGCAATCAGAAGATGTCCTTCATTTCAAACACACTCTGCTGATCACAGCTGGTGGCTTCATAATATCTGTTGTTGGAACAATGCAGCTGACTACAGCTGACTTGGTAATGTTAATCTAGGTGAGGTCTACCGATATGTTAGAGCTGACGTTGTGCTGTCGTCGCTCATCAGCTGAGCCAATTCCACGATACGATAACTATTGTCGCTCTCATTCACTCTCTGCTTAAATGACAACGTAGTCATGCGAGATACTGAAATCGGAAAATGAACGACATGTGGTCTTTTAGTATCCATCTAGACGAGGTCACCCACTACTGTCAATATGTATAGACGAGTCAAGGTTTTATGCGCAAAATATAGTTCTTATGCATCTGTCAACGTATATACCAACTTCTGTGCGTGTACTGAATAGCTTATAGTAATCAAATGCAACTTGACAATTGGCTCTCTGAGGTACGACTTATGCAGAGATCAGAAACGATATTGGTGACATACATTCTGTTGTCAATAATAGCATTTGGAATGATCTACAATAGATATCATGAGACTGACTATGCATCTATTCATTAACCATTATCACAGGTTCACAAATATGTTGGGTCAAAATTTATCTTCAGCAACCCATGTTGTAAGAGCGAACTAATGTGATCGGTTGGTCGTTCTCATTTACTTGTTTGATGCATGCCATCGTATCCCACTTGTAAAGATCGATGCTCATAGAGTCATGACCATGCTATGTGTAACTGTTTTGTGTATATCATTACATATTACTAACACCGAGGTATGCATATTTTTATGAACGTTATAGTAGAAGCAAGATGTTTATATGAATATTGTCTAGAATTTCTTTGAGTTGTCCATAAACGTAGGCACTTAATGTTTTGTATTTAAAGAAGTACGTTTCTGTCGTAATAGATCTTCATCAAATATTCCTCTGTTCCTCTGTGATAAAGTTGCAAATAAGTTAAGACTTAATTGTTTCCGTGGACCTTCTTCAAGGTATCTGTGCATGTAAACGCCAATGTACAGGAAGGTGTTGCTGCAAGAGGTTGGACCTGTTGTGTACTTCGGCATGTGGATGTGGCCTTGAAACATGTTCCCGTGATCTTGACAATGTTGACATTGAGTAACATGTCAACCAAAATTTCCTTCGGGATAATAAAGTATAATTTTATCTTATCTTATCTTATCTTGGGAATAAACTATGACTATTCAAAACAATAAATACGAACTGATATGAAGGCAATGTTGTTTGCGTTATGATGACATGCCTGTGTGTATATTTGGTAGTAAGATACCATAACGCCTTTCTCATCAGTGTGTCATATCTTTTACAATGTATTAATAATTGCCGGTGTAAAAGAAATCAAGAAAACCAAAGTCGTAATATTTCACATTGTAAACAGAGAAATGGCACACCATAATGTCACTTGTAAACCTTCCATTAGGATGTCATATTATTATCTATCAGCTTTAAGGGTTTCCGGGCATGTCAGTGCAATACTGACACTTATCAAAACATATCTCCTTCTGACAGCTGAATTGTTGTTTCTGCCAGAATGTCAATAAACGCAAAATTATATGATAGCTCAACAGTATCTTCGACATATTTAGTATTGTTGATACTTTGTAAAGCATGGAGATGAAATTCTCTTATATGTTGCTGATCTAAATACAAAGTACCACCCTTTGTTTCCTTGTAATGGTTTTTTCATGCATAACGTGCCAACCAAAGGTATATGTGATCTTTAAATGATATAGCTGAATTAGAAAAACATAATTTTTGAAATAAAAATGCCTTTAATTTGTAATGTTCAACTCATATTTTCTCTTTAAATGCCCTTTCTATTAAAATTGACCTTTGACCTTACCAAAATATTTTTGCGATGATCATATATGTTATTTTATTGTCTACAATTTTAAATCATGATCTGAGCATTCCCAAACTACTATTTTGATGAAAATCAGTCAATCCAAACCAGAGTTATTAAATTAAACCATCCAGTTATCGGTTAAAATATTGCCATAACTGACATGACGTGTTGCACCTTAAAAGGGCCCCTGCACGGTAGTCACGCACGGTAGCTGATGACAACCGGCTTTAAATCAAAGCCAAACATTCCTGATTGTGAAAATACACATCCCGTTTGGTCGCCAGAACTGCATCACATTTTCACCATTTTGGGGGTCTGGCTTCTATCCCGTCTTTATTTTCTGTGGCTTATACGCATCCTTGATCTACTTTCTGCAGCTTATACTCATCCCTTCTCTACTTTTTGTGGCTTATACCCATCCCTTCCCTACTTTTTGTGGCTTATACTCATCCCTTCTCTACTTTTTGTGGCTTATACTCATCCTTGCTCTACTTTCTGCAGCTTATACACATCCCTTCTTTATTTTCTGTGGCTTATACGCATCCTCGATCTACTGCCTGCAGCTTATACCGATCCTTTTTCTACGTTCTGTGGCTTATGCCCATCCCTTCCCAGCTTTTTGTGACTTATACTCATCCCTTCTCTACTTTCTGCGGTTTATACTCATCCTTTTTCTACTTTCTGTGGCTAATACTCATCCTTTCTCTACCTTCGCATCCTATACTCACTCCCTCTCAGCTCCATCAGGCTATACGCACGCTCTCACAGCTCCAGCAGCCTATACCCAATCCCCTCTCAGCTCTAGCAGCCTATACCCATCCCCTCTCAGCTCTAGCAACCTATACCCATCCCCTCTCAGCTCTACCAACCTATACCCATCCCCTCTCAGCTCTAGCAGCCTATACCCATCCCCTCTCAGCTCTAGAAACCTATACCCATCCCCTCTCAGCTCTAGCAACCTATACCCATCCTCTCTCAGCTCTAGCAACCTATACCCATCCCTCTCAGCTCTACCAACCTATACCCATCCCTCTCCTCAGCTCTAGCCTATACCCACCCCCTCTCGGCTCTAGCAGCCTATACCCATCCTCTCAGCTCTAGCAACCTATACCCATCCCCTCTCTCAGCTCTAGCAGCCTATACCCATCCCCTCTCAGCTCTAGCAGCCTATACCCATCCCCTCTCAGCTCTAGCAACCTATACCCATCCCCTCTCAGCTCTAGCAACCTATACCCATCCTCTTAGTACTAGCAGCCTATACCCATCCCCTCTCAGCTCTAGCAACCTATACCCATCCCTCTCAGCTCTAGCAACCTTTACCCATCCCCTCTAAGCTCTAGCAACCTATACCCATCCCCTCTCAGCTCTAGCAACCTATACCCATCCTCTCTAAGCTCTAGCAACCTATACCCATCCCCTCTCAGCTCTAGCAACCTATACCCATCCCTCTAAGCTCTAGCAACCTATACCCATCCCCTCTAAGCTCTAGCAACCTATACCCATCCTCTCTAAGCTCTAGCAACCTATACCCATCCCCTCTCAGCTCTAGCAACCTATACCCATCCCCTCTAAGCTCTAGCAACCTATACCCATCCCCTCTCAGCTCTAGCAACCTATACCCGTCCCCTCTCAGCTCTAGCAGGGTATACTAATCCCCCTCTCAGCTCTAGCAGGGTATACTAATCAGCCTCTCAGCTCAGTTTTAACAACCTATACCCACCCCTGTCAGCTCTATTAAGATAGTGGTAAGTGCCATACATTAACCTTTCACTTACTACTCTTTCAGCGCTAAGAGAGCTTCGAAAACCAAGGCCCAGGAGCTTATGCCTACCCCTTCCCAGCTCTGGCACTTAGGTTCATCTTCTCAACTCTAGCACTAAATTTAAAGAGGTGTTTCAGCAGTTAAGCAACCTTTTAAACGCTCAGGTGAATAAGAAGAATATTTCGGGGTTACGTGTTAGTCTCAGTATTTAAAGTTTTGCTTCGTAGCACCGTGCATACTCACTGACGTCAACGTTCTTAACGGACAACATTACACTGCCGTCGGGGTTGTCGTTTTCAAGGCAGGTGAAGGTGCCGCAGTCTACCGTCCACGTGCTGCCGACATCATGACACGATCCGTCGTGAAGACATCCTAAACACAGAAATGTGGGACCCGTGCATACACATGGTGGTCAAGTGACATTTCAGAGAGATGACGAGGGCTCCTCTGACACATGTAGCTACATTTGTCTAATACGTGAAAATACGAACACATTAAAGACTCCTGTGAGTGAGTGAGTGTGTGAATGAGTAAACCCGCAAATGAAAAATTCTTTTTGAAATTGTGATTCTTCGATAGGATAAAGGCTGAAATGATAAATAATAAACATATGAAACAAACATGAAACAACATGTTTTTAATCATCCACAAAGTCTAACGTTTCTAGAAACAACAAACAACATGTAACATGTGATATATTTTGGATTATACTTTCTCAGTAAAATGCAGATTCTAGCACCTTTTTGTGCGCCTTAGTGTGCGTGCATGCGTGCGTGCGTGCGTGCGTGTGTGTGTGTGTGTGCGTTGGGGGTAGGGAGGTGACCGGTGGGGGTTGAGTGCCATCCGGGATTCGAACCCAAACTCTTGGAGTCTGTACTTTAATGACACAGAGTAATCCCAGGTATAACGTATGTTAACCTTGGCACTTTCTAAATGGCACTGTATTTAAAAGTACAGGCAAATAATATTCTAACCGACTTTCAAACACTAAGCTAATACACAGATTCCGACATAGAAACTTAATTTTAAATAGAGACAGTACAAACAGCGGTGTTTTCTAAACAGGGAACAACGCGTCAGTGTACATCAACGTAACGTAACGCTTGAATGATAATATAAGGTGTATGTTATTTTCAAAATGACATGATCAAGCAGGTGTGCGCTTGTAGCTGACATAAACAACTTCCAAGCCACAGCCATGTAATTACTCTCGAATGCCGAACATCGGTTATCTTCACAGCCTAATTAACCAGTCCCGCAAGTGTCAAAAACGGTAAAACCAAATAAACATCTTGAACTGGAACCCTAAATATTTACCGTTATATAAACGTAACACGCGTTGCGTCAATCGTATACAATAACACGAGTTTCCCAGATGCGTGTCTCTTGTATATCAACTGGTTTTCTTTACATATCTTGTAAGTGGTTCGTACTAGATGTCCCCGTGGCCTATATACAAGGGGTACGTCTAACATGAGGGTTATCTTCTGTGTTGCTTTGATTTAAACCAGCTCAGCTGACACTGATTAAATGAAGCATGTCTGCCGGAAGTAGCAGAGGCACAGGGGTGGTGAAGAGGCAGGCGACCGAGTGCGGATGTTTCTCTCATTCATACGCGAGGAAGGGAACCAAATCTCCAGGTTAATCATATACGTCATACATGTTTAGATTTGATACTTTTAAAAGACCGGAGGAATAGTTTTGTTGGCTGAGCAATGACTCTAAGTTATGTAGTTTGTTAGACTTCGTAAGTTTCAGATGCCTGGGAGAGGTTCTATCATTAAGTCTTAACGCTGATCGTTAAAGATGAAGAGGATTACGATGTCGTGATGCTCTACGTCTGACGATGAACATAAGAACTGCATCCAGGCGCACTACTTGAAGAACGCATTGAACAAACTCTATACAAAACCGGATAATCACTGTAAGGTAGGACGATCTTACGATTAATTTTCTTATTAGCGTCTCCTTCTTTTAGTTTTTTATTTATTTTTTATTTTTTGGCGAAGGGATGAATTTTCATTATTTTTAGAAATTTCTAATAGCTTCTATATTTTTTAACATTTTACTGACACTTTTTTCATTGGAAGATGAATGTAACTGAATGTTAAGAACCAATTAGTTCATCGGTTGATGATGAAGCTAGGAGTATTTGGGGAAATCTAGGCCTAACTGGCCGTTCAGTAAACACATTTGCTTTGTCTAAGCGTACTATAACTTAATTGGAAGCAAGGAAAGATTCTTCTTATCTGAGTGTTTCGACACATCCAATACACATCTTCACTAAGAAAATGACACATGGACTATATAATTACAAAATGCAAACTCTGCTCACTGAATTTTCAAGCATTCTAAGTTTAATGGGATGCGGATATTTTCTTTACAAAAGAACTTTCATATTCTTTTTGTCATTGATGCTGGTGTACGGCGGGTTTAATAGTTTCGGTTCGACTATTCAGATTAATTCTGTTCTGGCATTTCTATCTCGAGACAACCGAAAATTCGAAAATCTAATTTCGACTTATCATAGGTCAAATACTGATAACAATTGAAGGAATCCATTGTGACTGGAAATATGTTCGACACAACCTAGCATTTCGAAAAGGGTAGTTTGATACAAAGGGTGCCTTATTTTACGATATAAATATCTGGTTTCCAAGGATTATAACACCAAACCTTGCCACAGAAACTAAAACGTCTGAAGAAGATGATCATTTTTTTCATACATATGATAGTATTTGATAGTTTTGTCTGGTCTAATTGATGACAATATTGGGAACAAATGAATGTGAAGTAGTAATCGGTGAATGTTTGTGGAGAGGGCAATGTTGATACGTGTAACAAATAGCGAACAACAATGTAACCTTCTAAATATGGTCAGTTCCATCCCCGGTGCTCAGTTCAGTCCAAGCTAGTCTCCCTTTAAATATACACGGGGTTGGGGTAGCCTACTGGTTACAGCGTTCGCTCGTCACGCGGACCGGGGTTCGATTCTCCATATGCGTACAATGTGTGAAGCCCATTCCTGGTGTCCCCCGCCGTGCAATAGTAAAGTTTTGCTTTACTCACTCACTCACTCACTTAAATATACACTGACGTACATAGGAAAGTAGATTTCTGGAGTGTTGGGACTATTAAAAAAATAAACATAAATATTAATCATATTCGTTGACTCATCAACTTCTAGAAAGCCGATCAAACAATTAAAAAAATATAACAATTAATTATATTCGTTGACTCACCAACTTCTAGAATGCCGATCAAACAATTAACAATGAATGATATTCGTTGACTCACCAACTTCTAGAATGCCAATCAAACAATTAACAATGAATGATATTCGTTGACTCACCAACTTCTAAAATGCCAATCAAACAATTAACAATGAATGATATTCGTTGACTCACCAACTTCTAAAATGCCAATCAAACAATTAACAATGAATGATATTCGTTGACTCACCAACTTCTAGAATGCCAATCAAACAATTAACAATGAATGATATTCGTTTACTCGCCAACTTCTAGAATGCCGATCAAACAATTTACAATGAATGATATTCGTTGACTCACCAACTTCTAGAATGCTGATTTAACAATTAATGATATTCCTTGATTTCGTTCATTTCATGCCGATTTCAAGGTAACCACTTCCGGATAACGGAATTTTACTCTATTTATTTATAAGGTGTAATAAAATTTAACTACATTCATTTCAGCTCTATATCTGCGGATCAAATAGCTGCCATCAATAACAAATCCTTTAATGGCCTCTACCTACAATGTAGGTTAACTGTGATCGATACTTTACTAGGGTAATTGTTAAAAGATTCGATATGTGTACAGCCAAGGTCAGAACCCTTCTGTTGGTGATTTAAAGGATATCGATTGGCAGAAAAGTCGATTCAAATACAGAGAGGGTGTCAAGACGCCGGTCATACATCACAATGACAATAACCCTATTAATCAAGTTATCAAAAGGCCACACACAACATCTTGTACTAATGAGCGGTATCAATAAAGAGGTCGTGTCACGATGCTTAAGGGCAGTATACATATACGTAGAATCTGCGTCTTCAATGCCGCAGCGTTGCAGCTGTATGACAGCGGGGGCGGTGGGGTAGCCTAATGGTTAAAGCCTCCGCTCGTCCGATTCGATTCCGGGTTTGATTCCCCGCTTGGGTACAATGTGTGAATCCCTTTTCTGGTCTCCCCGCTGTGATATTGCTGGAATATTGCTGAAAGCGGCGTAAAACCATACTCACTCACTCACTATATGGCAGCGGGGTGTGAATAATTGAGTCCGGATAAATTATTTTGTTAGCAGCAGCATCCCACGCCGTTGTGGCGCGACGTCACCTCGATGGGGACCACTCGATTCCTTTAAGCGCCTAGTGCGACAAGACTTGGTTGCTGGGGACTAATTGTATGAAGAACATGTTTACGTACACATTGTTTATGTATTTGGCCTGATCATTTACAGATGTAGAGAGGACAGAGTTTGCTCGTCAAGCCAAAGACCGGGTTCGAATCTCAAGATGGCACGATAATCTACAGTGAAATTGATATTGTATTTATAAAAGCCGTTAAATTCTGACTCATCTAGGTTCGATCGGATTTGGTCATGGTGTTTTACGCCGCGGATATAGACGATGTAAACCAGTGATTGATATTATGAGCAACGTCAAACGCTACCGGGGAATGATGACATGCAGTCGTGTCAAAACGTCTATTTTTTTACACCAAAACTGTAACAAAACTGACAAAAAGCACTCACTGTGAAAATGCATGTCGTTTCGACCGAAGCGTGCGATATGTCTGGATTAACTAATCGTGGTTTTAGGGGTGATAATCATTTACATATTTCATTGTACCGCAATAGGATCATCCAGGTGTTACGGTATTTCGGATAAACGGGAACAAGAACAGCTGTGACAGTAAAACATGTACGTTGTACACTTGGTCCGGTCTAGTAAGGTCAAATTGGCGGTCGCGCAATTTGGGACCAGAACTGGTTCTTGAATATACGCTTGTCACCGGAAATCTGGTACCGGAAGTAAGCTGGGCCCCGTCTCGCATATCGCAAGTTGGCGCGCGCAAAGGGATCCGGGAACCAGCTTAATGCCGGAAGTATAGGACTTACGGGCCCCATACTTCATATCATAAAATGATTCAGGGAATGGCGTATGCATTTGGAAGACACCAGGGACGAGGAAATCATATGCCTGGTATTTTTAAAATTTTCATATTGGAAGCAGAGACTGCTACTGATCTGAGCCGTGTGGGGTGGGGTTTGGTGAGGTTAGGTGGGGTTTGACTGTGAAAACCCTACCTACCATGCTTCTGTGGATACAACCCAAAGTACTGTCCCCTCTGTTCGCACTTCAGTATGGAGCATCCGTCAGTGATGGTGACGTTGGAGGGTACACATTGGTCGTTTCTAGGGCAGCCTGAAATAGAGAGTGAGTGAGTTTCACGCCGCTGTTAGCAATATTCAAACAATACCACGGCGGGGGACACCAGAAATGGACTTCACATCCTGAAGTAGATTATTACAATTAAGAATATTTCTATCTACAGTTCACTGGATGTATGGGAATCGATTCCATATATAAGATTGAGACACTGAAGGTCGTTGGATGAGCACAGCAGGTACAGCCCTCGCAAGTCACGCCTGGGTTTTTAAAACTGAGTTTGGTTTTCAACACGGGTACATCGTTGAATATGTTTCTGCTATGTGTCTGTAATGTTGACTCAAGTATCCTAAGGATTCATCTGATGGTGATTCTGCACTGCGGGCTTAAAAAGCAGACACTTGGGTGTTGACCAGAAAAGTTACAAAAGCTATCAAAACGTTAATAGGTCGAAACATTGCAAGTTATAGGTAATAAAATGACTTTAGCCAATATCAAAACATCAGTGTTTAGTTTCTTTTGCTTAGTACTGTACAATGAGATGGTTTGTCCATCTTCAACCCGACAACAATGAAACTTCGTCAACCTGGACGTTACCGTGCCCCAATTATACTTCCAACACCCCTGCTTCTGTTCTAGACATCTGGAAAGCAGTGTTTCGTCCTAACGCGTAGACTAACAACTAGTCTCTGAAATGAACATATTTTACAGAAAAAAGTTCATAGTAAAAAAAATATATATATAATGAAAAGGAGCGCTGAGATTTTCTTCATTTTCAGCATTTTTCTGAAGCTGTGGAAATCTAGACTTGCCACATTTTCTAGACCTGTGTGTGCTTTCTTTGATATATTTGCTTCAGTGTCTGTATGACAGACTACCTAACGCGGTTTTACTGGACATACAACTGACACGAGCACGAGTGGGTCAGTAGCCAAGGCGCTGTAGTTTGAGAACAGTGAGTAGTGGCGTCCCTTAACCGCACCAGGATCCGCTTGTCGAACGTTTGATTTCCAGATTTGGACATACAGATGGGATGAGGGGAAATTCAGTTTAACGTCGCTTATATAAATTATATAGTGTTTGTGTGCATGTTAAGACAACTTGCCGCAATCAAAGATGAATACCTCACTCAGTATACTGACCTCGTGGTGATCCGTACAGGTACCTTCTTTTAACGAATTTTGATCTGAACCACCGGGGATCGAACCACCGACTCACTGCTCCCGGAGCAGAACACCTATCTACTAGGCCACGAAGCCGGATTAAAGCGGTTTCTCCGTACATAGGTTCTGTCAGTTTCTGCCCGCACCGTAAGGGCTCCTCCACTGTTCCGCCCGTCACTGTCTAACGGGCAGCCTTCCCGTTAAGCAACTTACACCGAAACAATCAGTGCAGTTAAAGAGACATATGGTCGTGTTCATCTGCCCCGACAGTGTGAAACATCAAAGGATGTGTCTGGATCTTTAAGAGAACCAGGCTCCAGGGTAATTACTGCTGTGTTTAAAATTAACACATTGTCTCCTAGCAGGGTAATCAGAACATGTTAGTCTTTTGTGAATGAGTGAGTGAATGACTAATAGTATTTCTTTATACCACGGCTCACGCCGAAGACCCGGGTTCGAATCCCCACATGGGCACAATGTGTGAAGCCCATTTCCGGTGTCCCCGCCGTGATGTAGCTGGAATATTGCTAAAAGCGGCGTTAAAACCAAACTCAGTCAGTCAGTTATACCACGGCATGTCAGTTTAATAGGGGAGGGAAACGCGAAGCAGGTCTCAGATATATACCACTTTGATGAAACCTACGGGTACGGATATGGTGCCGACAAACCACGAAACATAATGGGAGCGAACCCACAATCAGAGGGAGCTGACGAACGCAAGGGACGTAACTCCGTACCGTGAGTTGCGGCGCCTTGTACGACTTTGTTCCCCCGTGTCCCTATGTCAAAGGACGGTGTCAGAACCCTTTTTGATTTAACTGAGCTGGAGTTACGCATGAATGTTTTCAGATATTTGTTCCTTTCATTTGAAAGTTTTGACTAATAATCCAGTGCACACGTAAGGCTAATATGGATTAAAAATTACGATTATACATACTTTAAGTGGCAATCTAACTATCAGTGTGTCAAAGATGATCATGTGTTTGTACTGTTTATTTGGTCATCGCCTCAGTATGGTTAAAACGTTTGCTCCTACATCTGTACCTCGTCCATAGCTGGGATCCCTAATTAACCCGAGCGTAATTGCTCCTAAAAGACACGTGTCAGTTCATACAAGCCATGCGTGTTCGACCAGAATATATATCGGTACATTTCACAAAGTCGAGTTCTACGTGGATTCTGCCCGTCACATAAAACGCCGGTGTCAAATTCCCGTATGACTAAAACGTGTTAAACTCAAAACTTGAAATATTTTTAAAACCTTTTAAAACGTATAGGTACAAACTACAGTAGTCTGTCTCACAGTCCCTGAACAGCATTACTTTCCCTACTGCCTGAAGCAAGTCTAGATTTCCACGTAGAATCTCCCATCATACTGGGGCTCCTTTTCAATTCAAACGGGATTATTTGTTACTATAAATATTATATATATATATACAAAGACTCAGCGTTCCTCTAAAACTACAGTTACGTACCCCAACTTGAGAGTTGAAGGTCGGGGAATTCCTGTGTACCCACAAGTACCCTGATACAGTTGTAAGTGAGGCAGCTGTGGGTCCATTTCCCCCCGACATCAACACAGGTCCCGTCCAGGGCCTGACAGGCTGAAACAAACAACAGCTCATGTATTATACACGTAGATACAAAAAAAAAGAATCCAAGTGTTAAAAATCATGCTTCCGGGTTTGGTTTTGGTTTGGTTGTTGTTTAACGCCGCACACAGCAATATTCCAGCTATATGGCGGCGGTCTGTAAATAATCGAGTCTGGACGGTGTCCTCCCAAAAGTTAGACGTTCCACAAAACGCGTTAAAGCAACAATGGTTATGGATGGTTGCACTGAGGTTCACTACACTGTTACCTTCGTTAATTAATGGACTAGTCCAAATGTACTAATCCAAACACAAAGAGAAGAGATTATGGATAATGACAATGACTTTATTTGACATAAAACAAAATAAGTTAATTCAACAAGATAATTTAAATGATCAATGGATGTCCTTGTAATGACTTTATATTTGGCATAAAAACAAAATAAGTTAATTTAACAAGATAATTTAAATGGTCAATCAAATCATTCAAGATTTAAGATTTCACGTCTTTCACATCATTCACTATACAGGCAAGAATGTCAACCAAGTCTGAGCAAATGCCCAACTGCATCGAGGAACTCCATGTTTGTCATCCCTCCTGCATGCAGTCTCTCTTGCAGACGCATCAGCCTGTTCTCAGTTTACAGAGTATGTAAACAAGTTTGGACATTTTTACAGGAACTGTTGTTAGTTCTAGCTTGTGCCAATAACTAATCTTTCTTTTGCAAATTACGATATCCAGAGGCATTCGACCAAGTTCTCCATATAACATAAGACTTGGAGTGGAGCTTCTAAGTCCAGTTGTTAATTTCATAAACTATAGATGAACTTTTTCGGTAGCAGCTAAATTTTTTTATCCCAAACTTCACACCCATAAAGTAGTATTGGTACAATCGTCACATCAAAAGCTTTTAATATACAGTCGAGGGGTAAATATATGCTACGAGCACGTTTCGGTAATAAAAACATAGCCTTAGTTGCACTATTTAATAGTTGTTTTATAGCGTTATTCATTTTCCTGTTTCTATGAAAGTTAATACAAAGGTAGGTAGGTATAAGAATCAACTTGTTCTATTTCATGATTACCAAGAGAAAAAGAGTATTTAGATTTAGATGCGAGACCTCCGCCAGATATGACGATTTTAGTTTTTGAGACGTTAACGTTAGGCTTCCATTGTTGACAATAACTTGCGAAGTAATCCAAAGTATTTTGTAAAAGAACTGCGTTGTCACTCATTAGTACATTGTCATCAGCATATTGAAATAACAGAAGCTTAATACATTGGTCTAATAATTATCTAGTTTAAAGTTGATGGTTATACTTTCGGAACCATTAGATAGTAGGAACTCTTCTAAATCGTTTATAAAACTTGAAAACAGTAGCGGTGACAAGTTTTCTCCTTGTCTTACTCCAGAGTGACTGAAGAAATAGTCCGAGTAGGATTTACTAATGTTAACACATTATTATACATGTTCTGTACGAGTTGTAGAAATTTCCATATATATTATACCTTAACATTTTTGGCCATAGCCCAAATCTCCATACATTGTCAAAGGCTTTTGTAAAGTCAATAAATGCACAGAAAAGTTTTTTCTTAGACTTCTTAAATATATGTGTTACATTGTGAAAACACATTTGGAGAACCCAGTGATTGAGTAAGCCAGTCAACATTAGTATTCTGATCAAAGTATTTGTGTACAAATGTGAAAATCATCTCATTAGTGTATGAACAGGTTCATTATATCAGTGGGTAAGACAAGGTTGTAATCACAGTCACGCCTGATTGATTTGTCTGATAACTGGGATGTATGACTTTTGGGACGTCTAACTTTTGGGAGTAAACCGTCTGGACCAGACAATCCGGTGATCAATAGTATATGCTTCCGGGACCATCGATGGAAGGATAGAAAAAACATTCAGTTATCAGCTGAATCGGCGTAGTCTGGGTATATCATGTTTAGACCTTTTTTAGATAAAACAAGAGTTGTTGACATTATTGTTTTGGGTTTTTTTCGTTTGTTTGCGGGTTCGTTTGTATTTTCATTTGTGTTTTAGAAAGTTTTTTAATCATGCAATCATCTATATATTTGTTGGTGTAGGGGACTGTTTGGCGAAATTGGGTTTATAGGATGATATCGTGTGGTCATTGTTGACATAGTTTCGGGGGTTTATGTTGTTTTTCTTGTAGGGGTTGTGTGGTTTTGTATATATGCTTTGATTTCATTGCATAATGTTGTATTTGTAAAGTTGCGGTTGTTGTTTTGTTTTCTGTTGTTATTGTTTGCTTGGGATTATTTAGTTGGGGGGTTGTAGTGGGGTTGGTTTTTTTGTTATGTTTTGTTTTGCTTTTTTTCTTTGGGGGGTGTTGTTGTTTTTTGTTCATTTTGCTTGGTTTGGGGTTTTTATAAATTATTTTTTAATTTATGTTATTTATTTATTTTCTTTTTATTTTATTTATTTTTATTTATTTTATTTTATTTTTATTATTTTTTTTTTTATTTTTCTTTTGACGGTGGCGTTAGTGCAGTGATGTTTGCAGGCATATGCCTGCAGTGGCTCAATTGATGCATAATCCATAAAACGTCAAAAATATTGCCATTGGTAAATTTCGTAAATTAGTGGAATATCGTGTGTTTTATGAATATATACTAGTTCCATTTTAAAATTATTTCATTGCCGAAAACTGAGGGGACCAAGATGGCATACCGAATTAATTTGTTTTGTGTTTTTATGTCACTTAAAGCCCCACACTTAATGTATTCATTTAACAATAACTCACAGTTTTACAACAGTTTTTAAAAGGTTATCTGTTGGTGGGTAATTTTAGGGAAAAGAAACTGGTTCAATGAAGACTAAGTTGAGCGACCACATGACCCTACCATGTCGGAAATGTTGTATATTTATAGATGTTATTTATAGATAAGATGTCTTAGATACCCATTACCTTCAGAAGCAGACTTTCAGTTTTGCACACGTTAACAAACAACAAAAGCACTTCAGTAGCTCAGTATGTTAAAACACACTTTATGGCTATAGGTTTCTCTAGTTAATTCATGATTCCTATATCCTTCAAGTTACCTTAAAGGTGTTATTTTTATATACATTTCTAAGTTATCATAGTGTCACTGTGGAAATGATGTTTTTCTTATGTTGTAGAGAAAAAATGCACTCTCATTGCACGCTATTCAACCTTACACGACTCAGCAGAAGTAGAGGCGCTTCCGTGTTCAAGTGAGAAGTAGAGTGTACGAAACACGCATGTATATTTATGATTACTGTGAACTTAAGACCAGTGTAGGTTTGAGGGCACAACAATCGTCCTTTGAAATATTGAGACATGAAGACTGTATAAGGGAGATAACTCTATTTAGCATGTCGCCAAATGAAACCCGCTCTTCAATTTTGACTGTAACTTAAAAAGAACATACAGCGTACAGGTGACGATACAGTATTAACACATAAAGTTAAAGTCTCCAGAACGAGTCTGTGACAGCTACATATTATTACCGTTCATATAAATCGCACACTTCCATGAAGTCCTCTCGTGGGACAAGATATCCTGAGTGTGCTTTATTAGGTATATTTTAATAATCTCTGATGATGATGGAAAATTTATTCTAATTCTCAAACAAAAATACGCCTGTTAGTGTACCATGAGAGAGAGAAAAGAGAGAGTAATAATAGTGAATTCAGATAGTTGCGCTCAGATTTGATCCGAGGGAACCAGTGATAACTGAAATCGGTTTGCCTCTGTATCACAAGTGTGTTTAAGTTTAGCGCTGCAATCCACGTTGTGATGACGTTGAACGTGTCCGAGGGCGTTACAGACGCAAGACAGCCGGAAGTGTTGTTTATCAACCACGCTATCCCTCTCGCTATAAATAGGTCTTGTAGTTTACATTGAGACCACGCAGATAGTGCTTACCTTCATGGATATTACGGAAGCCGACGTTCAAACTGCTCTTGATGCACTGTTGCCGGGAACAGCCGAGGGTGCGAATGTAACCCTCGGGACGACAGGTGCCTCCCTGGTCCTCGCAGGCTGGGGTGGGAAGGAAATGGTCAGTTTCATTTAATGGACCAACGAGTGAGACTTAATAATAATAATAGTGAGTGAGTTGAGTTTTACGCCGCTTTTGGCAATAGTCCAGCAATATCAAGGCGGGGGACACCAGAAATGGGCTTCACTCATTATACCATGTGGGGAATCGAACCCGGGTCTTCGGCGTGACGAGCGAACGATTTAACCACTAGGTTACCCCACCGCCCCAATAATAATAATAAGAAGAAGAAGAATGATACTAATTGCCAGCACCATTATCATCATCATCAACATCATCATCATCATCATCAGTGTATTCTTACCATAGCTATGCTGACAATCCTGTATATATTTCTTTTGAGATTTAATCTTGCTGCAACGTGAATCGATTTTTCGGTCAGAAGATGATCTCTCGCCATTCCTGTCTCACAATAAGTTAATGCACGCACGAAATAGATGACATATCATCGTACCCCAATTGCGTAGATCGATGCTCATGATGTTGATCACTGGATTGTCGGGTCCAGACTCGATTATCTACAGACCGCCACAATACAGTGGAATATTGCTGAGTGCGGCGTTAAACAACAAACACGAAATGGATGGAGACATTTTGTAATCAGGTTGGAAACTTGACCGGGAATACTGACCGTAACGAATAGGATAGTACCCTCCATGTTCGCAGATGTACACAATACAGGGGCCGCTCAGCTTGGTGACGAACTCGTCCCCGTGTTGGATCTTCACCCCGTCCATCATACAGTGGCCATCTGCCGGGCATGCAGGACAAAAACATCACATTGTCATCTTGGATACATCAGAACCTCACTATTCAGATTACCTTTCAAACCACATTATTCTAGTTTCGTCTAAACAGCTCTAAACACGTCACACTTTTCACACGTAATTTAAATATTCAGTCTTATCTTTTGCTTTATAGCTATATCAGTCATTTACTCTGGACTGAAACAATCGTACCCTCACTCTACAGCTGTATCGTACCTTTTTCCACGTAACCGAAACAATCACTTTTACCCTGACTATAAGCTGTATATATACTAGAAGTGCATCGCGTTATTCCTATCGAGAGTTCATACTGATCGACGCTGCAAAGTGTCCATAACAATGTACATTGAAATCAGTTGTAGGGTAACATTCAAGAGTGAGTGAGTGAGCTTTAACCACTAGGCTACCCCACCGCCCCTTCAAGAGAAAGTAATAGATAGAGGACTGCCAGTACTGTGTTGGGATCTTTACGTACAGTTGCGGAAACCTTTGTTCTCGCGACAGTACGTAATGTCCCGATAAATACATGCTCGACGTCTCTAGCTATCTTAGAGCGAAGGCAAATACTCGAGTTTTTATAAATAAAAAACCTCGGGATTCACATTCTAGGCACCTTGCACATGAACTGGAATGTTCGTGCAAACTACCCTAGCATGCCCAGAACCCTCTCTGTACTTTTTCATCATATACAGTCAGACCTCGTTTATCCGAACAATTTGTTTTTTTATTAAATTGTTCTGTAAATGTTCTCAACTTGACCAAATTACTGACCAATAGACGACAGTATTTGCCTGTGCTCTAATATACAAGCAACAGTGATTCGGAGACGAGCATATATGTCAGCTAAAGGCGATGGGAGTAAGGACTATTTATGAGCTGGGTCCTTTTTCACAATGCTATCGTAGCGCTACAACAGTCGTAAGTCCATGTTACAGTGTAGGAGGTACGACGGTCGTAGAGCTACGATAGCTTTCTGAAAGGGGCCCTGAGCCTGCAGCATGTGTTCAATTGACCATGCTGTCGTCGTACAAAGCGATCTTAGCGCTACCTTAACATAGACTTAAGGTAGTCTTAGCGCTAAGGTCGTTTTGGACAACGGCACCCAGATAATAGGGAGTGACCCGAATCTAGGCTGAAAGCAATCTCTAGCGAATTTTGAAGAGTTTGATTTGAGTCTGCTACACCAAGAAATCTCCAGAAGGCTGTAGAACAATCAGAAGCCGTGCCAATTAACACTCATCAGAGGGGTACACAAAGTCCGCAATCTAGACTACCAGTTGTCCGACTTCCATTTTTGTGGAAGCCGCGATGGCTGAGCGGTCTAGGCGTCTGACTTTGTGTGCTGGCGATAAGGTGCCTGACTCTGAGGGTGTGGGCTCGAATCCCGGATTGGACTCAACCCAAAAAAGTGTAATCCCAAATATAACATATGTTAAATCAGAAGGGGGAGGTGCTCACGGTCTTGCGTTGCCGCGGCCTCAATATGCGGTTTGCCAGTAGCGACGGTAACAACACTCAACACGAAAAACAGCAGCAGTGTTCTGCGATCCATTCTGAAATATATATGAAACCATAATCATATTACCACTATAACCATGATAATAACAACCTCACGATGCACATACAAATATGTATACCTTACCTTGTTAAGTGGGAGTAACCAAGTACAAAATATCAACGAGGTATCGATTTTATAGGGACCCGTGAGGATGGGTCTGTCAATACAGAAACAAGTACCTGTAAACAACGCCTCGCTTACCGTCCAACTTATGCCACATGAAACGGGATATGTTATAAATCTACGTGATTTAAAAGTTGAAAGGACTCGAGCTGTCCATAACGTAAAAAGGTTTCACAGAACTAGAAAACGACATAGGTCTGCATCACATGGTAAAGTTCTCCAATTAAGAAGCTCTTACAGTGTTTCTTCGACCACCGGCCTACGCACTCACTCACTCGCCAGCGATCTGAGTGTAATAAGACCCGCGAAGGTCCGGGTTAGAATTGATCTTCAGTAACCCATGCTTGTCGTAAGAAGCGACTAACGGGATCGGGTGGTCAGGCTTGCTGACTTGGTTGACACATGTCACCGGTTCCCAATTGCGCAGATGGATGCTCATGCTGTTGATCACTGGATTTTCTGGTCCAGACTCGATTATTTACAGACCGCCGCCATATGACTGGAATATTGCTGAGTGCGGCGTAAAACTAAACTCACTCACTCACTTTGAGTGTAATAAAGTTCAGACCATTAGGATGCCGGGAAGATCTTGTCGGGGGTTCGAATCCCAGTTCAGCCCTTATTACTATGCTTGGTTTATCGACGCCACTGCCGTGCTAGTCTCCTTGCCAACGTTATACACATTTCCGAAGACAATGCCACTACCGCATCAAGATGGCACCATCAGGCGGGGTGGGGGACGACTATCTGGTTACAAGATAAACCCCACGGACGAAAACAATTGATTTTGTATGTCAAGGTTCAGTCACTGCAAATGATTGTGAATACTTTAATATACGCTTCATTCATAATATCAGAGCCGAAAATTAGAAATTGTTTAATTCTTCACACCATTTAAGAACACAATTTTAAACCTTAATTGTGTTGCTTGTACCTTCATTGGCAATGGATCAGTAAGCACAAACCGAGACAGTCATAACACGAGGGCAGAAAATTATACATTGTTTAATTCTTCACACCATTTAAGAACACAATTTTAAACCTTAATTGTGCTGCTTGTACCTTCATTGGCAATGGATCAGTAAGCACAAACCGAGACAGTCATAACACTAGGGCCGAAAATTATAAATTGTTTAATTCTTCACACCATTTAAGAACACAATTTTAAACCTTAATTGTGTTGCTTGTACCTTCATTGGCAATGGATCAGTAAGCACAAACCGAGACAGTCATAACACGAGGGCAGAAAATTATACATTGTTTAATTCTTAACACCATTTAAGAACATAATTTTAAACCTTAATTGTGTTGCTTGTACCTTCATTGGCAATGGATCAGTAAGCACAAACCGAGACAGTCATTACACTAAGGCAGAAAATTATAAATTGTTTAATTCTTCACACCATTTAAGAACACAATTTCTTACCATAACTGAGTTGCTTGTATCTGTTTAGTCATAGGACCAGCTTTGTATCAACGTTAACTTACTAATTCAACTAAATTTATAACTGTTTTCATAAATAAATTTACAGAATAAAAAGAATATGCAAGCACTGTTGTGTTCTTTTTAAGTGGGCTCAATGATGAAACTTGTCTCAGCGTCATAAATATTGCAAGAATCTTCTATTCATAGCGCCTCTTGAAAAGTAACACTTTAATCTCAGTCTTTCATCTGTCCCCACTGTTTAAATTACCATATACGACTATTTTTATATGAAAATTTGGACTTTGTCGCCAGGGAGATTATATATAATAGTTGAGGTCAGCATAGATCATGGGAATTAGAGGGTTATTTTATTGTTTAAACACGAACCGTATACAGTTTCTTTTTTTATAATACAGAGCGCGATGTTTTCAAAAAGAGAATAGTTATACTTACTGTTTCGAGCTACGAAAAAATACAAAGTGTTTCACATGTACAGCGAAACTTTGTTAATCCAGACAACCTGCCAACTGGATGATTTTCATTGGGAACGCCGGCTATTATACAAATGGTTATTAATCATACCTATGATCTCTTCAGCGTGTTAAACCACATTTTTTATCAGTTCAGTCTGTTCACCAGACTTCTTTGAGTGGTATTTTAGAAGTTAGGAAGTGCAATATAGAACGAACTTCATGGATAACAACTTCTTTTTATTACCGTTTATCAGAGTAACAATTTGAACGTTTTTCACTGTCGTATAGTCAATTTTTCTTTAAATCTCTGATTTTAATGTGTGTTTGGTTTTACCTGTTTTTGCCAATGTTCCATCAATATCATGACGAACAAATCAATATTGGGAATCGAAACCGTGAATTCGACGTGACTACTAAACACTTTAACCACTGGACTACTGGCTATTTGTATACACAGCTGATTGAGTTTGACAATCAGTCTTTAGAGTTTATAGTCTATATAGTTTATAGTCTTCATAGTTCAACTAGAGTTTAGGTTCAGTGTAGCAGAGATTTAAAGCCTGATTTATTGGTATGACAGATTGGCAATAATATTAAAGAATAGTATTGCGCTTAACTTAATTTGAGTAGGATGGTACTTCATGTTGAATTCACGGGGTATCTACAATGTTGCATTGTTTTCAGGAATGATATGTAAGCGTGACAATAATGTTTCTTTGTTCGTTTGTTTGATTCTTGCCGTTGTCAATTTCCCATCAACACGATGTTTGTTGTTTGACGACACACTCGACAATATTCCAGCTGTATAAGTGCCATCTGTTAGTCTAGACTAAACAATCCAGTGATTGACATCGTGAGCATCGATCTACGATGGTATGTGTCAACCATTTTAGCAAACCAGAGCACCACATCCCGTTGGTCACCTCTTACGTTTGTTTGTTTGTTTACTTTTGTTTGTTGTCTGACGCCGCATTCAGCAATATTCCAGCTATACTACTCACACTTTGCTAAGGATCACAAAAATTCACAACTTTACTTAAACGTAGAATTGTAATTTGAAACTGTATCAATTTAAAGCTGTATAAATAATAATAAAGTAACCCCTCTTTAGGCAAACAGCCACTTTAATCTAACCTAGTACACTTGATACACGAGTAACCATAAAAATGGTTTTCATGGCACCAATCAACCATTTTGCAAATCATGGAACGAGTCATTGACAAATAAACAACACCTGTCAATAGCAGGTATGGGATCCACAAGATGCAATGACATACTGAAACCTAGGATCCATGCTTACAATAAGCTTAGATATTTAAACCAAATTTGACCTCACATCATAGTTTTCTGTTGAATACATGATTTGATCCTCAGCAAAGTGGTGAATAGTATATATGGCGGTGGTCTGTAAATAATCGAGTCTGGACCAGACAGTCCAGTGATCAACAGCATGAGCATCGATCTATCCAAATGGGATACGATGATATGTGTCTATAACAGTGATGAGGCGTTTTGGTAGCCCAGTGGATAAACGTTTGCCTTTCACACCAAAGGTCCGGGTTCGAGTGAAATAATGCTAAAATCGGCTTAAAACCCAACACCTAACAAAAAATATATTTGTTTAAAACAAAACGTTCGCCAATTACCCCGTTTCTGCCTTGAAGTGCAAGCAATGCGTATACTGATATTCCTGTCATGTCCCACCGTCTAGCATCATTACATTGTTTCCCTTCTCAAAGGTCTAATGTAAACGATACATATTTCCACGAGCGTTTCCTGCCAATTTAATATTGTCACTCATAAAGCAAATGTCACTAATTGTGTCTTCCGCTCGCCGTTACGACCAAGGCAGGCACTGCGCTGTGAGGCAACCACAGCTTGCTTTATGCAGCGCGGGTCAAAGGTAACGTAACTCATGCGTCACGTGCATACAACGTCATTACCTGAATTGCCAGCACGTGCAAAATTGAGCCATTTCCATGATCAATTGACTTGCGTTTGCACATATCACATTTTGTTTATGGTCGGGATGTGAATTTAAATTAAAGTCGTTCCGAGAGCAATTGTGTATCCTTCTACGTATGAATTTATGAGGTGAGTAGGCTTGGTTGTAGTTTAATGACTGTTACGGGATTGGTTTTGTTCAATTATCTTCCCACGTTAATAGTATGATGCATATTGTTTAAGGGCACGTTATTGTGAATCATGTTTAAATTGTACAACCCACATGATAGTACATAGATAATTTGGGTGTAAATATGTTTTCAACTACGCATCATTGTCTCTGTATCGTACGTTATCATAGCATGTTTTCGTATTCATTTAAGCTCAGAAGTTGATTTTTAAAAAACGAAAAGAGAACGGATACGTTGTCATCATCATACAGGTAAGCGTTACGAATATAACGTATGTTTTCATCTTATCAGGCTATCTGTTATCCAAAACGTTTTAATATGGTGGTAGTTTTTATCGTAATAAAACACGCAGACAAATTTCTTCCATCTCTTTATTATCGTGTTAAAAGACGACAGGTTTCTAGGTTAAAAGGTTCGAACCGCAGAATTAGTGAATGAGTGTATTTTTACGCCGCCTTAGCAAAATCCAGCCGTATCACACCGAGATACAAGATGGCCCCACGCAGTGGGTAAGCTGGGGAACTGATTCTAAGATCTCGGTTGCTTCAGCAGCAACCTACCTTTTACAGGTTCGATCCCCGACCGCGTCACACCCAAAGACGTTTAAATATGGTACTTGTTGGTCCCTGCCTGGCGCTCGGCATTAATGGGTACAACAAGGACTGGTCGGCTCCGAGTCAGTATAATGTGTCTGAGTGGGGTATTCATGCTTCACTGCGGCATGGTATCTCAGTGTGCTAGCTCTATAAAACCAGCTTCAGTCTGGGATAGTACAAGCAGCCGCACCTACACATACACACGCATGCACGTCGTCATATGAGCGAAATATTCTCCATT